CTTTCTTTCCTCGTGCGAAATCGGAGCTTACCCCCCTGAAGGGTGCCCCCACCCTCGGTGTAAGTGTAACTATTAGGGTGTCTCCCCCAATGTAAAGTGCCGCCCCCACACCCGACTCGGACTCCAAAGCATACGCTAAACGAAGACCCGGTCCTGGTCCGCTGTTTTTTTCCTCTCCTTGTCCTAAGCCTCAGCAAGACGCGTGTTTAAGTTGGAGTAGAGAGCGACGCGTCTTGCAGACGGCACGCGTCCAGCCTACCCAGCGCGCGCCGCACTATTCCTCATCACCTCTATCCAGCCTTACCCATCTCTTTATCCTCATACACACAATTCCCATGTCTCCCAAGTTGCAAGTGTTCAAGCGTCTGGCGCACGCCATCCTCCCCACTAAAGGCTCAGCTCTCGCCGCCGGCTATGACTTGTACGCCCTGGAAAACACCATCGTCCCCGGCCGAGGCCAGGCCCTCGTCAGCACCGACATCCTGATCATTGTCCCCGAAGGCACCTACGGGCGGGTGGCGCCCCGCAGTGGGTTGGCGGTGAAGCACGGTATCTCCACTGGCGCTGGCGTCATCGACGCCGACTACCGCGGCGAAGTGAAGGTGGTGTTGTTCAACCACAAGGAGCTGGACTTCATCGTCGCCCGGGGCGACCGCATCGCGCAATTGGTGCTTGAAGTGATTGTCAACGCCGACATTGCCGAGATCTCCGAAGCTGAACTCACTCAAACCGAACGTGGCGCTGGCGGCTTCGGTTCCACCGGTACCAACTAATCACTCAATTGACATGAACTTTTCACGCATATAGATAATAGCTTTCAATAAAGACTTCTCACCAGTGGATTTCGGGTCTTCATCAGAAATTTCGGCAATGGTAGCCGCCGCGGAACCAGTCTCCGTAAAACGGTCGCGGCAACCCCACCAATAGTTAGAGGGTTCTACCAACAAAGCACAAACACCAATGGCCATTACCATCAGACCAGCCACTCCTGACGATATACCATGGATGGTCGACATCTCCTCCATTAATGCTAAGGCCAACGTCTCCAGCTTTACTCGAGGTTTCATCCAGAGCCCACTTCCTGCCGATTTGATTGAGAGATGGCTCCCTCATATCGCGGTGGCCACCGTCGATGGCGTCACCGCCGGCTTCGCCCACAGTGCTCCGGCACCACCGCCTTCCGCGCCGCGTCCTCCAGAACCAGTATCGTGCCATATCGTTGATAACGCCGCCCGTATTTTAGTGGACGGACAGCCGCTTTCCACGCTCAACTACGAGTTCTACGGACCGGCGCTCGTGGCAGCCGACTACCGCGGCCAGGGCGTATATGGCACTCTCTTTCGTCACATTGTCGCCACTGCCCGGCAACAGCACCGCCAGGCACTCGTAGCGTTTGTCGACGCCGACAACCCGGCGTCGCTCGCCGTCCACACCCATCTCGGATTTAACGTTATTGACGACCTCGCCATTCACGGCCGCAACTTCCACATCCTCGTCTACCTGATCACCGAAAACACCTCCACGTAATTAGTAAAGGCCAGCGACATCGCCTGATTATAGCTGTTTAGTAACTCGAGAGTAACCAGGGCATTTCGTGGTCAATGGACTAAGTCCGCGAAGGGCGCATGTAGGAAGGACGCACCTTCACATGCGCCGTGGTGCTGAGCGTGCGCATCCCGCAAATGCCCCCCGCCTTCCTGCCATAAGCGCTTAACACCACCCTCCCTTTTCACCACTACCATGTCGGAACGGAAGAAGATCGCCCTCGTCACCGGTGCCTCCCTGGGCATCGGGTTTGCCCTTGCCAAGGAATTGACCACCCGTGGCTACCAGGTGTACGCCGGAGCTCGCCGAGTGGCGCCCATGGAGCCACTTAAGCAGTACGGGGTTATCCCTATCGAATTGGACGTGTCCCTGCTTGAACTGGTGAAGAAGACCAAGCAGTACATTTTGGAACACGCCGGCGACTCGTTGGACTTGTTGGTGAACAACGCCGGTACCCTGTGCTCGTTCCCCTGTACCGATTTGCAGGACACCGACGCCATTGCCTGCTACCAAGTGAACGTGTTTGGCCCCATGAGAATGGTGAAGGAGTTTGCCCCATTGCTCATCAAGGCCCAGGGTACCATCACTTTCACCGGTAGTGTCACCGGGGTGGTGGCGTTCCCGTTCTCGGCGGGGTACAACTCACTGAAGGCGGCGATCCACCAATACGCGGCGACGTTGCGGGTGGAAATGAAGCCGTTCAACGTCAAAGTACTCAACATTGTCACCGGTGGCGTTGACACTAACATCGCCGACACCCGCCCCATGCCCAAGGACTCGTACTATAACTTGCCGTCGTTGTTAGATGCATTTGAAGAACGCAAGTCGATGGCGAAGCGTAACGCGCCCATGCTGGCTCCCGATTACGCTCGCGAGGTCGCCAACGATATCGAACGTCTCCACCTGACCTCGGGCCCGTTGAACTACTATAGAGGTACCAAGGCGTGGTTCTTGGGCCACTTGTTGTGGTGGGCGCCGCGCTGGCTCGTAGAGAAGGGGCTTTTGCGTAAGTTTGGCTTCACCGAAGGGTTCAAGCAATTGTACCAGAAGTATGTCGTTCGCCGTGACTTGAAGAAGGATTAGCCTGCTAAGTATTATGATGAAATTTGAGAACCCGAAACTTTCTGTGGGTTGTAGTATATTAGACTTCGGTCACGTTTGTCTAAGGTTATTGATTTTTGTCTGAATATTTCCAATCTCTGCTTTACACTTGACTCGCCGTTGACTCCATGATTGGTACTTGGACGCAAGCTTGTCGTAGGTCACTTGAGCGCCAAACGTATGCCGACGTAGTACTTCAATTTGCTTGAGGTGATGCGGTGACGGTGTGGTTTCCCCAGTAGGCAGTTTCGGATCAGTCGTCTTCGTATTGTTGCCTAAGCGCTTGCAATAGGCGATTTCAGTGGACAAAGCTTCTTGGTAGATGCCTGCGGCGTGATTCACTAGCTCTTTAAGCTCGACAATGAATTCTTTTGTTATCGCTAATTCTCTGTAGACGGCGCTCTGATCATTGAGCAATTCCTGAAGCCGAGTCAATCGGTCAACTTTGGACTGGATTGCCACATCATTGATTTCGTTGATCATTGGTGTTTGCTTTTCTTTGTCGAAGCTGGGTATTTGTTTAGAGTTTAATTTATGATCATGCAAGTGGTGTTTCAGAATTAGCGAGGTGGTACCACTACGAAAAGAGTGATAGTCACCATATCCTAACTATAGTAGGGTATGGAACTGACGAAATTTTATTCAAGTTGTGCTATACCACTAAGCTCTAATTGGATTACCTTCAACTTCGCTGCAAGCTCAATCCGCTGTTGGTTCCAAGACTCCTTTTTCAACGAAGATGAAGCAACATTTTCCAATGCCAGCCTCAACACGTCACGTAATTCATTACAATGTGGTGAGGGTTCCATGGCATTGATAGGGTATTCAGTATACGCTGACGTTATCCTATGAATCGATGTCTGACAGCACATGGTTACATTTGAGAGATTTGCATGATAAGTCTGCGCAACACTGAATAAAATCTTTGTGAGCTCAATGATGATAAACTTTGCAACACGAGCCTGCGTAATCAGACCGTAATTGGCGATTAATTGACATTGAGATTTGAGGTAGTGCAATTCGATGATTGTAGCCACATTTGAAAGGTCATCAGTGCATGGCGTGTTAACAGATTGATATAACATTGATATTTTTGATCACACGTCTCGATGAAACCTTATATAGACTCCCATCTGAGTCCATGAGTCCTGCAGTATTTCAAACGTGTCTCGGGTGGTTAAAAGAAATTCCAGTACAACCTTCACAACATTGCAAATAGATGGGAAGTCCAGATCCAAGGACTTAAATAAAGTCCCGAATGTACCAGTGAATACATCTATTCAGGAAGATGATTTAGCGGCCAGCTCATCGTTCAACGTATGCTGCATCGAGCCTAACAAGTTTTGGAGACAACATCCAGGTAACCCACTAACTTCATTATTGAGTGATCATCAACATATTTCAACAACGACAGCTTCAATCGCTTGATCCACCACCCTCTGTCGAAGGTCGTAACCTCGTTAAGGGATTTCCGCCGCACGCACATGACAATCATCCTCCACTAGTACGTCTTGGCACCTTCATATTTCCAATGAACCGTTACGTCAACACCGAACACCCACTTTAATGTTTTGGAGCACCACTATCGTCACAATGTCGCAATTGTTCATTCTGTCAACATCCAGCACTGAAAGTCCGTATTCATTGTTCACTAGTCATAGTTAAGCGCACGCGTGTCCCCTGCACACAACCGAGGAGAGCGCGCTCAATTTTTCAAATACAACACGTAACCGCTTTAAGACCTCACCTCCACTATGGCCTCGTCAGAATACACATATGACGCCGAGGGCGAAGTGTGGCCCTTCTACGTGATGGCGGTGTTGTCGTTTGTACTTCTCCCTATGACCGCCCAATGGATATACTCTGTTCTTCAGCGGGATTTGGGGCTGAACAAGGGCATTACCGGTGCTATCGACGTCACCGTCGGCGACGATGCCGAAGTCGCCAACGTCACCAAATACCGCCGCAAGCTGAACCGCTCCAAGGTGTTCACCAAGAGATTGTTGGTGATCATCCTTGGCTGGGCCGCCGTCGCCTACATTGGTCTCTACTTGACGAAAGAGGCCACCACCGCCGCCGTCAAGTTTGACCCTTACGCGCTTTTGGATGTTTCCGTCACTGCCAGCGACCGTGAAATCAAGTCAAAGTACCGTAAGTTGTCCATCACCCACCACCCGGATAAGTTGAGTGGCAAAGGTCTTTCCGATAAGGAACGTGAGGCCGCCGAACAATTGTGGGTGCAAATCGGGTTGGCTTACAAGTCGTTGACCGACCCCGCCACCAAGGAAAACTTCATCAAGTACGGTCACCCCGATGGGCCTCAAGAAGTCACCCACGGCATTGCCCTCCCCACGTTCTTGGTCGAGGGTAAGTACTCTTGGGTCATGGTGATCATCTACTTCGCGTTGATCGGTGGGCTTTTGCCTTACATTGTCGGTCTGTGGTGGAACAACGTCAAGCTGCACACCAAAAAGGGTTTGCATGTGGACACTGCTGCCCACTTCACCCGTCGTTTGGCTGACAGAAACCCCGCTAAAGTGGTGACTCCTGATACCATCTTGGAATGGGTGGTGTTCCTGCAAGAGATCCAAGCTCAATTCAGAAAGAAGTACACTCCGGCTCAATTGTTCGAACTCGTCAAATTGCACTTGACTCGCCAGGACGCAGGCGCCAAGGAAGCCGACAAACTTAAGTTAGTAGCAATGTTGCCTAACCTTATTAGTGGGTTGGCTGATATTGCCACTGTGTTCCGTCAACCTGAAGTGGTGTTGCCCGCGATTGAGCTCCAAAAGCTGCTTGTTGCTGCTGTCAACTTCAATGGCAAGTACCAAGAGCTTTGGCAATTACCTTATGTTGACCCTAAGGTGGTGGAAAAGCAACCGGTTCAAAAGCTTGGTAAGTTGTTGACTTTGACTCCTGAAGAACAAAAGAAGGTGTTGGGCATCAAGAGCGATGACAAGCTCGCCGCTGCGATTAATGTCGCCAAGTACATCCCGGCTTTGCGTGTGGTTCTGGCCAAATTTGTTGTGCCCGATGAGCCCCATGTCACCCCTTCGTCGACCGCGTTTTTGGATATCAAGTTTTTGGTGAAGGGATGGAGACTCAAGCTGTGCCCTGAGTTGCCTGAAGAACGCTTAGAAGACGAAGAAACTATGGAATACTTGCGTAACCCCCTCATCACCAACGATAACCAGCCTCAGCTTCCAGTGGCGTACGCTCCTTACTTCCCGCTGCAAATATTCAACAACTGGACGGGGCTCTTGATTAACCAATTGGACAACAAGATTGTTGACAACTCCAGCGCGTTCAAGGTGACGAACATCGACTTGCTGAACCTCGACTTGACCCAGGAGGAATGGATCGATGGCAAAAAGGTGGTGGTTTCGTCGTTTAAGGTGCAACTTCCTGGCCCCACCCCGCCTCTGCCCGGTACTTACCCGTTCCGGGTGGTGCTCAAAAACAACGCCTACTATGGGTGTGATGTCGATATCCCCGTGTTTATGGATGTGAAGCCAGCCCCTATTCGCATGGATACGAAGAAGTTCGTCACCAAGTCGAAGAAAACGCGCATTTCCACTGGCGATCTGGATTCGGAAGAAGAATCTGATTCTGACTCTGAGTCTGACATGTCGGACGCTGACGCCAACGAGGTGCTGGCGGCGCTTAAAGCGTTGAAGGGGCTCGCCGAAGAGAAGGCTGCCCTGTCCAAGGTGCAAGAAATCGACTCTGATGACGACAACGAGCTGGTGTTCTCCGACATCAACACCGACACCGAGGATGAAGCTGAGGAAGTGAAGAAGTAATGCATGTACTAATAGACACGATTAACAACCTTGAGCCTCCTTACATATTCAATATCATACGAGCTAGTTTATCTAAACAAATTATGTCTGCTTTCGGTGGAAGATCGACACCGTAGCAATGTATAATATAAAAATTGCATGCAAACACGGCTGAGGTCTCAAACTTGAGGATCACGGTCAACACAAAGTAAGGACCTTGAACGTCAAAGTTGGAGTTGTCGTGGTAGCAAAACTTGCTTTGACATCTCGAAGAATGTTAATGCCAACTTCCCTACTAACATTTGACACCGAACGCATTCATCCATCTCGAATTCAGCTATTTGATAAAGAAGTTCGAACAGATTCTTTCTTCTCTATACATCTAAAATGCCATTACCCGAAATCGAACTCTGAAACTATTGTTTGATCATTATGATAAAACTCGTCAAATATCGATTCTGATTTAATAGTCGACTCTGTGTAAAAGCCAGTACAGTAGTAATAACCAACCAGGGTATTCGCACACTTCAGGTTACTTCCACCGAGTTAAACTTCCTTTGAAAGAACTTTCCGTAACTCAAAAAATGTCACATTAACAACAGGATAACCATTGATATTCTATATTTAAAGAAGCAGTGTGAAGTGCTAGTATTAGTGTCATCACATATACACGACTGCGCCAATTACTATTTGGTGAAAGACATAGATGATAGAAGTAGACAACATAACAATCATGTCCTGCATTTGCAAACCAACCCTGCATACAACGGAAGGCGCATAGGCGACAAGTTTAGCACAACACTACGAGCATATTTAGCAGTGGCGAATTTGACCAGACGCAAAACGAACCACCAACTAATTTGATCCATTCAGCTATCAGTTTCGAGAAAGAAAAAAAAAAAAAAAAAAAAAAAAAAAAAAAAAAAAAAAAAAAAAAAAAAAAAAAAAATAAAAAAANTTGAAGTTTAATATAAAATCAGGTGAAATCGATAAGATCATTCTGTTTGCTTCATAAATTTTGTTGGCACTGAAAGTATAGTTGATGTGATTTTGAAGGGGTTTACTTCGAAATTGGAGACTTTAAGTGGTTTGATGTGGCCAAAAAAAACTTTTTTTTTTTCAGTCGAAATTTATTTTTCTCGAATCTGAGTTTGTGACGTGTCCTATTACATCTAGTGAGCATTGAAATTAATCTGCGATGGTTGTAGCAGTGATGAGAGAGGTGTAATACGTCGTCTATGTTTGATACTTATATGCAGGTGCATCAAGGGAAATGCAGAACACAAAAAGGTGAGTTCCAAAACGCACTTACAAAGTGACTAAATCGTATTTCTCAGAGTTTTCATAGTTCTTTGGCACGTATATTTGGTGTGATGTGTTCAAATGGCAGCTAACGCTCATACTGACATAGATATCACAGTTTTAAGTTTGAGATACTGCACACAATCATTGCATGTGCATATGGCCGACAAATGTTCAGCCTGGTTTTTCATGACGTATACGACACTCTAGAAAAATTGAAAACACCACCATAAAGTATACGGTGTAAATAGAACTTACCACAGCAAATGGGATTTTTCTGAATTTTGTTAAGAAAAACTTCAAAGTGTGATATAAAATCAGGGAAAATTGGCACAGACTTCTAACTAGCACCATAAGTTTCTTTAGTATCAGAAGTACAGTAGATAATTATTTGGGTGGGTTGACGTTCGATTTGAAGTAGTTTCATGTATGTCAAGAAATGAAATTAAGGGGGAGCCATAAAAATTGTCTTGGGCGTTGATGTTAGAACCAAACACTCGCTTGTGCTTTGTAACAATTGTTGGCACCTGAAGTATAGGTGGTGTGTTTTTATGCAAGTTGACGAAAGATTTGACGTAGCTGGAGCAAGGGCACTCTTCTGTCAGTACCTGCAGGACGGGTAGATGACTGCAGTACACACATAAACATGGCGCTACGAGTTGCAAATCGTGAGTAGGTCTAGCACGTCACTACTGTCATATTTGTAAATTGGTAGACTATTGGCCACAGAATTCTTATTAAGTTAGAGAGGATACTGAGGTAGTTGTCATGCTTTCAAGTGCGATCTTTAGAAGTTCCTGCATGTAATGGAGGAGTTTTCAAATGAAGCATTCACCAACAATAAGACAGGTCATGTGAGTTCTGCTGCCAATTCCATGATCCCCACGATTCAAATATATGTGGTATAGCTATCAGACTCTGTTCCTAGGAAAAAAAAAATTCTCCAAAAAAAATTTGAAAAATTAATTTGAAATATTTTTTGACGGGCGGTGCAGTGTATTATTTGCAGGAATTGATGAATGGCGCGCTATAGTATGTACAGGATATAAGTGAGTATATGACGGGCCAAAATTCACACTTGAATCAATCGGTTTACCACTAGGATTATTAGTGACACATTATAGAAAGTAGCGCTTTCAACTTGGATGCTGAGGTTCATATTTTGCCACAAATTGGTATTGCAATTGTGAGCATATTGTACAGATATCTAAATCATGTTTCAAGATCCTACATACAACTTCAGTCAAAGCTAAGTACCAACTTTGTTGAAGTCAAAGTTCTAAACATAAGTACGGCACTAGAGTAAGAATTCGCTTGCCGCGGAGGTTCGAAGCTGATCGCTCGTTTTATTCATCATCTTAATCTTCTTGGAGACTATCATGAGTCGGAATGCACTCTGGTCTTCGCCAACCGGACCCATAACCTACAGGTATGGTATCTGGTACTGATAGACGCTTTTGTCAACGCTGCCAGCCCGCCTTTGAAGAGCGGTAGCCGCCGCTGACGCTACTACTTGCTGCTCGCTGTTTGCTGATTTGCTGGTGTGCTAAGTCGCTTCCAGCCACCAAAAACTTCGAAGAATTGGCGGCTGAGTCGACTGCTCGCTGGACATGACTCGTGCTCTGCCGCGCTGCAACCAGTAACACTCCATGGCCATCCCGTAGGCGGGGGAGATAGTGCAACTTTATACACATCGCCTATGGGTGGTAAACAAGACACTCCCATCTGAATGTATCCGCAGCGACAGATTAGCCCTGGTCGGTCGACAAGCGTATGCTTAGACCTCGCACAAAAACTGATGGCATTGGATTGACTGTTCGGTACTGTTTGACGCTATGGGGGACTGATGTGTCTTCCTTTCCAAGGTATATGAAAGTTTATTCGTATAGGTCAAAAGCTTAGACGGTTTTACTGTTGGAGATCAATTCATTCGAGTGCTGAAGATTGTAGACTCCTATTGTTCGCTTCACATGTCAAGCTGTTTTGCGTATATGCTAATTTTACTTTGTAGGCAATTACGAATCGTCTTATAAAAAGTTAGTGCGCGCATAAACTTGAAAGTGAGTAAGCGCTCATTGTCAGGATGATCATCTCTTCTTGGAAAACTTCAGTAGATAGACCGACTTTTATATGATCCGGTCCCACTACCTACATTCAAAATTAATACGTAGGGTCTCTCGAGCTCATAGGTGGTTACGTTTGAAACGTTCGAATTCAATACCATCGCTGTTTGTTTCTATCATATCTATTATGAATGTTCCCATCATTACGTACACAGCCCCTATTTACATTACGCCATCAATTCATACCTCTTTAGTGTAGATGTAGGCGTCCGGGTTGTCCAACCCTTGCTCCTTATAGTAGTCAGCGACAACGTCCCCTTTGACGAATCCACGGGATTCGTACCACTTTTGGGCATCCTTATTGTCCACGTGAACGTGCAAAACAATCTTGTGAATGAATTTCTCCTTGGTTTGTTCCTCCAAGTACTGTAAAAGCTTCAGACCGATGCCTTGGTGTTGGTACGCAGGAAGCACCGCTAACAGCTCGATGTAGACCGCCAGAGGCACGGCATCTTTAATTGATGACGACGCTACCAGCGAGTCGTACAGCTGAGGTTGGGAAACAATGGCCTTGCCTCTGATCGCCCCAACGGGAAGTTCGCTGAAATAGGCGAGCTTGATGATGTGGCTCGAGTTCAATGAGTCCTGGTACCACGCTTCCGGGTAGGTGGTGGGGAGCACCGCCTCATTGATCTTTTTGAGCACGCCAAGGTTGTTTGGCGTGACGTCGTCAAGGGAGATGATGTCTCGACCCATGGCGCTTGGAAGTGGTTGGTGGTGCGACCTGAGGCAGGAGAGGTAATGCAAATGGTATATGGCCATTACGAAAAGTCAGAATAAATTAATCATTGATTGCGCTCATTGATGAATGTCGAGCAAGTGTTTGTTTCATGTAGGCTTTCAATCTTTAGTACGACATTATCTCGTGACCATAAACACTGTGGCATGTGCAACTATATTGTGAGCCAGCGATGTAACCAATAACTTTCCCGCCATTGCCAATTGACTACTATAGACTTCTTCCAAAAGTTACTTCTGTTAACATTGCGTAGCTACAATTAATTCTTTTCTAATCTCTTATTTCTCGTTTACTCGTATCGACGGAGGGGTTCCCTCCCTCCCTCTCTCCTCATTCACATGGCGAGCCGCACCACACTCCCTAGCCTCCTTTGCCACTTCCACACCAACCCAATTTCCTAGGAAAATGCAAGTCCTCGTGCTTATCATCATCGCTGTGTTCCTCTACCTCATCAAGGATGCGGTGAAGGAACTCTTGGGCTTATCTCCCGTGCTGAAGAAGGAAGAAGAAGTCCAAATTGTGGACGGCAAGTTCACGCCCAAATCCCTCGCCAAATACAATGGCGCTGATCACCCCAAGATTTTTATTGCCGTCAGAGGCAAGGTGTACGATGTGTCTCAAGGTAAGGCGTTCTACGGTCCTGGTGGCCCCTACGCTAATTTCGGTGGTAGAGACGCCCTGAGGGGTTTGGCTAAGAATTCGTTTGAGCTCGACAACTTGACTGCCATTGACCAGCCCATTGACACCTTAGCCGATTTGACCAGCGGCGAGAAGGAATCGTTGGACTCGTGGGAAGAACACTTCGAGAACAAGTACCCTGTGGTGGGCACTTTGCACGAAAATGAAGCCTAGAGAATGTGGTTGACGTTAGATTAGTAAGTATAATACAGAAATTAAGTGTTCGTAAACGTGGGGGGTGGGGGAGGAATAAATACATTCGTCAGTTCAGGGTGGCATCAAAGGCCAGCGCCACCTTGCGTCGGTGCCAGTGCTTCAAGAGGTCGATGTCGCGCGTGGGGTCCAGATCCAGCGGGACCATCACTCGCGTTATCGCCTCATCGACGGTGGGACCAGCCACAGCGCTGGTGTAGCCCACGGTATCGAGAATTGCCGCCTGTTGGTGTGCTCGTTTGGCAAACTCGTCGCTGATGCCAGCGATGGCGTCCACCGCCAGCTCGAGCTTTTCGGCGGCCTGCTTGATCGCCGGCGTCTCCATCGTCGCCCGCGACGGTGGCTCGCGCTTCGGCACCGCCATCGCTGCCGTCGTCGCTTGCACTTGCTTAAGCTGGCGTACCCAGTCATCGCGCTCCTTCTGAACTTGCTTGAGTGCCTGGGTGCATTGGTCAAGTTGCAAACGGAGCTCATCATTTTTGGGGTTGGCCACTCTCACTTTCGTTTGTGATTGCCCCGGTGGTCGTTCAAAGTCAAACACTGGGGTGGATATGTTGTTAAGAATGGTGGTAATGAGAGACCGTCCAGTGGCTCGCACTGACAGCAGTTGTAATTGAGGCTTTGATTCCCATTCCTTTTGTCGACTTTTCAGTGTCCACACCAAAAGTTGAGAGAAGCGGTCGCTCGCCAGCGCCGCCGGGTCCAAGTGCCGATAAAACTGATCTCGCGGCACTGATGGATGAAGTTCGGCTTGCATTCCCCGAAGCGAGAGCCGGCGCGATCGGTTTTGGAGCGTGGCTTGACGATCAGCGAGTGAGTTGCGTCGCAGGCGACGGTTTTCAAGCGATAATCTCAGCGACGACAAGGGGAACCCCATATCTCCTGCTGTCATTGATAATCGCTCACGCTTAACCGTGATTGGTTCGGGAAACTGCTCAGGGGAGATCTCCTCAATTGACTCCAGCGACTCTGATTCGGGAAACTGGCTTGTAGCTTCGACGCGCCTTCGTTTGTTTTGCGCGTCGCTGATCATGCTTGTTATGGTTCGGCTTTGCCCACCGCCGTTGCGGTTTGTGGTTTGGGAAAAAGCCATCGATTGGGAGTTGTCATAGGCGCCTTGAGGGATTTGTAGCGGGCGTCGTTTCCTCTGCGATGATCGGTCATTCGGCGATACCGGCGGGCGCGGCGGCGAGGGCGGCGATGGCGGGGTGGTGGTTTTGAGCGCGCTCACAGCGCTCGGAGCCGGGCGGGGGTCAGGAACGGTAACGCCGGAGGACGATGGCATGAACCATGGCGACTGCCTGGTAGAGGAAGAAGCGGCCATCCGAGCCGATCCAGATGAAGGGTGTGTTGCTGATGTGATGTTGTGCGCGCGAATATGTCGTCTGGGCTCAGAACCAGAACGCCGAGGTACATGCAGGAGCTGAAATTGGTACTCAATACCACCGCTACCATGATCGCCTCGAGCACTGTTATCAAAAATAGGTGGGGTCAGTTGAAACTTGATGATTCGACCATGATCTGGGTGTAGCTTAAGTTGGCGACGTAACCAGCCGTCGCTAGCCACAGTGTCGTCACTATCCTCTTCCGACAAGCGCATTTGGTACGCAAGTTGTTTGGCAAGCTTGTATATCCCCGGCGGCCATCTATCAGGAATTTGACGCACCAAACTTTTAGTCAATGGCAATGGCGGGTGCTGTTTGCGGTGCCTGAAATATTCCCGTACTCTTTGGAAGTATGGGTTCGGCTTATGGTTGCGTCCACACGCTTCAGCCATTGCTTGAGAAAGCGTCTCTTGAGCCTCCTGGTAACTTATCGGTGGAAGTGATGGTGATGGTGATTGCGATGGTGATGATGGCGCTGAAGCTGGTGTTGGTGACGGTGATAACGGCGGCAGTTCGACTGTATCTAAAGCCGATAACGGAAAGGCGATGTGTTTGCCGTTATCGGGATTTTGTGACAATTGCTGTAGCCAGTCACCATTGAACTTGGTATTGCCAATATGACGCTTGCGTTCTACAAGCAGAACTTCTTTCGACCCCGGATCATGGAACGGACTATCAAATGTAAGGTTTTCTCGGCGACGAAGCATATCGGAAAATGCTTGAGCACGAGCACCGCCATCAGTGGCCTGGTGTTCGCTTTCAGAAATGAGACGCTTACGAGTGTTGATGACATCATCAAGGGGTTCAGTGGCAACCGGGAGCCGCCGCGGTGGTCTCGATTTGGGAGCAATGACATCTACATCAGATGAACTGTAAAGGGTCTCGGGATGGGTGAATCCGACAAACGTCCGTCCTGGTATGACTTTTGGGATAGCTTTTGGTGATCTGGCAGTGGTATTGTCATATCGAGTTGTCGGAGGCTGAGACGGTGTCAAGATCTGCACAGGTGGTGGTTGTTTCAGTTGATCTTTTTGGGAATTTTGCGACGACGCTGGCTTCCTTGTTCTGCCTCCAATTATGCTAGAATCATAGGATTCAGTTGTGGTGGTCGACGACGAGTGCCTGGTCTGACGTCGTCGTGATGCCATGGGATGTGGGGACGGGTCGTGGACATCGTCGCTCCACTTCACCGGTTTGGACTTGGTCCGTCCCTTGGGACCCAGTACTTGGACGAACCGGATTTCCTTCATTTGTTTGTAAAATTGTCCCCTAACTGGGCCACAAGGATTTTTTTGGCAAGGTGGATCACTCTAACTATTGGGGTAATATTGGTAGTGCGAATCTGAAGAACCTCCTTCGCTGGTTGTGTGCCCTGTTTAGTCTCTCACCACTACTTCAAAAAACTATACACGCGTAAGGCTATCACCACAACAATTACCATCAATCATCACAACGATGAGATGAGCCATAACGGAACTGCCACATCTGCGATTACCACAACCATATCTCCATGCGGACACTACGTGGTGGCACTTGACGACGGCAATGCGAAGATATGTGCTGTGAATGGAGGACATGTCATCAAGAAATATCAGCTCCAACACCGTGGATATCCGGTATGGGAACCACTTGGTGATAATCCTGAGTGTACTAAAGTGGCCATTGTTGGTCAATTTACACTTACAGTGCTTATGGTTATGGATTTTGAAGGGATTGAGGCCGAACCTGTCATGGTATCGGTTGCCGGTCTTAAGCTCACAAACTTCAAGTGGATCTCAGCACAAACTGATCAACAGTTAGCTGCTGATGTTGATGACGATGCAGTGTTTATGGGAGTTTATTCGGGAGCAGTACAATTTGTGGTGACCACTGAATTCAATCTCAGTGCTCACTTATGGTCGCTTACTGCTTCCCAGCCATTACTACTGGTAGAAAACCCATTGGCAGTATCCACATCCACGTGTAATCTGTGGCTGATCTTATTGAGTCAAGGACAATGGCTTCTGTTTGCTAATGTTGGTGCTGCCAGTGTTGCCCTTGGTAATTTCCATTTGACTAAAGAGTATTCTGAGCCAAAATGGAGCCAATGGAACTCGAGCGGTACTTATTGGGCAGTACTGAATCTGTCATTATCGGGTACAGTGGTGGATATCTATACGCGTACTGGTGATTTATTAACTTGGTACGCTCATACTTTGGGAATTGATTATCAGCTCAAATGGATCACTGATAAGGCGATAGCCGGTGCCACTGTGGCTGACCATAAAGTCATTGTGGCGGTGTATAGTCTACTTGAAGGACGCATTGCTGAAGAGCTATTAGTGCAATTTTCGTTGGAAAGAAGAATATGGTGTGTCCATGAACATGGTGGCTATATTGAAATGAAACGTCCCATGGATAGCACTCGTCTTTTGCGAGTTTACGGAAGTGACGGAATCGTGGTGGTGGTGCTTGATCGTGAAGTGATCATTTGGGAATGGGTGGGGACATCATTAGTGGAACGAGCCGTGATTCGCGTCGATGATGTCCACAGTGTGTCACACCGTGACGCTCTGGTGTTTATCTGTGCTAACACGTCGGTAATTCAGTTTTCCATGGGGGTAGTTTCCACTTTATACCAAGGATCGTCACGGCTTCGACAAATGGTAGTTACCCCAGGTAACGGACCCATCGTGGTCGTTACCGGAGCCACCACCTGGGAAGAAATACTTGTACCTCGTCCCGCCGACTACGAAGTCACCGATACCTTTGCCGGGCGTTAATTTCCAAATATTTCGTTGAATAATGAAATTGTATATATATATGTACAAGTATGCTTAATATGATGTCACGCGGATTAGGACTTCTTCTTCTTGGGAGCACCCTTGTTGCGCTTCTTGCGGTCAGCGACCATCTTAAGACGGTACTGTTCCTTCGGGTCCACCAAGTTCAATTCAGGGAACCACTGTTTGAAGTCCTTAAACGTCGGCATCGCCGAGTTTTCCCCGTAGTACTTCACGACCTCGGGGCCTTTAAGCGGCGCACGCAACACCTTGGCCCCGTTGCGAGCACACGAGGGGTTCCAGGTGTGGCCGAAGATGGACGCCGAAAGCTTCTTCACCTCGTTAAGGCGGGCTTGAGCCGGCAACCGCTTGAGCATCCTTCGTCAACTGGAGTGTCAAAAAGTCGCACGAAAAATTCACCGTCGTGGTCGTCCCACACCATGAGGATGATACACTCCAAGGAGTCGAAATCACTCCAATTTAGAAGGATGATTTCTTGAAATGATATGATTTGATAGAAGAAGTGGTACTTAGTCAATTCGATAATTTCTCTACAGTATTTTCCAAAAAATCTGAGAGGACAGGCAGTTGCGAGGTATACTCATAAATTCAAGTGCGATACTACCAGTCAATCGAGCTGGTTTTCCTTGAGTAATAATAATGGTAATACAAATAGAGGGCTGTATTCTATTTTTAGTTATTTCAGTTATGTTTTATGGCTGAGTCTCCTACTTGCTATATGGGTGCGCGCCAAGATCTGTGGCTAGATTTCCATAATTTCCTCGAGGGTCTTGCTTACTTAATCGTGATCTCAAGGGGTCTAAACGGGGACAGAGCTCAAGCCATGTTCCTAATAATACGAAGCGAACCACACACACGAGTATTTCCTCTTTCCTTCACTAATTTATCCGAAAACCATACTAACACTGCTTTTCTATTTGTTCCACTCCGGTAGTGTCGGCACCTGTAATGCGAGCGCCTGGCGAGCCAGAGATTTACCACGGTGGTTGTCGCGTGGTGAGTAGGCGGATCACAGTGATATGGGCTCCCGACTAGCACTACGCTGCTACCGAATTTGCACTAAATAAAACACTTATTAGACTATAGATGAGGGTAAATCTTTAGTTAAAACATCTTAGCTTCAAACACCTCCGTTATTCTTCCCTGTGGTCACTGTTGCTGGCTCGACACAGCCCCCGTGGCTCGCGATCGGGTGTCGCCATCGCGATGGTGCCCCGCCGCCGCTAGGCGCACCTTTTCTGCTGCCGGCGCCCCGCCACGCTATCGCCTATCACTTACTGCCAGTGACGCCGCTAAGCTCGCCCCCCCAATATCGGCGACGATGGAGGAATATGACCCTGACCGCCGCTACGACGCCACCGGCGACCGCCTGGAAATGCTCCGCATCCGCCGGGTGGAGCTCGCCGAGCTGGCGGCGACGACGCGCCGGCGCCACGGCGGCACCACCCCCGAGCGGGTCCCCCCACCACCACTCATCGAAACCCTGTTTGCCCTGGATATCGACGACACCGATCTCGATGCCCTCCGCGAGGGGCTCAATTTTGCCCTCGAGGACGGCAACTGGTTCCCCAGCCGTGAGCCAGATGAGCGCCGCCCCCTGGATGCGCCGCTGGCGGGCGCCGAAACTTTGGGCAGCGACGACGGTGGCGACTATACTGATTCCATCCCGCTAGCGTCACTCGACCCTAAGCGGCCCCAGCGCCCTACCTTGACCATCAATACTGATTTCGAAGCGGCATTACCCCGGATCCACATCGACGACTCCCTGTTCTTAGCAGTGCCGCTGTCGCACAACCCCCCAGCGCTGGCGCTGGTGTTGGACCCTGGGCGGCTGAGTCCCCACTCCCCAAGCAAAGAGCACCCGCCGCTGCTGCCTCTGGCGGCGCCTGCCAAGTTCCTGGAGTTCTTCTCCCGTATATCCGATCGTATTGCTGGTGAAGCCGATGCCGAAGACGACGACAGTGGCGCCTCATCTCATAGTAACGCCAGCGTGGCGCTGCCGCTGCGCCCGGCGACGCCGCTGTCATTGAAGTTCCACAACGTCCTGATAGACCCAGCCAAGACTCCACAAGTCGACCAGCCTCAGCTGCCGTCAGACTACTTCTCTGGGGTCAGATTCGCCACCAGCCGCGACCAGGAAGAGGCGCAGTTGCTTCCTCGGCTGCTGGCGACGTCGCTGCCAAAGAAGCCTGCCAAACAGTTCACCAGCGACGGCCAGCTTTTGCTCTTTGGTAAGTCGTTAGGGATTTTCCCGCCGTCACTGAAGTTTAGACAGTTTTGCCATAACGTGGTGCTGATCTCCTACTTTAATAACGTGATGTTTGTGTTATTATTGCTTCAAGTGGGGCTCCTCAGTTACCGCCAGTGGAACCCGATTGCGCTCCACGGGTACTACTATGCCGGTTATAATTGGGCCGACTACGTGTTGATTGTGATTAACATCGCCTATACGGTGGAGATTGCCCTTAAAATTGTCGCCTATGGTCTCTATAATGACCGGTGTATGTACCGCGAATTAGGTCTCCCCTACCCTCAGAATGTCGTCAAACTGATGTTCTTCCAGAGGAAATACGTCATCAACATCTTGGACGCATTTGGCCTCTCGAAATTGGTCGATTTGTTGTGGAACCGTGACCAGTCACGCCTCAAAAAGCCCCACCACAACCACCACGAAACTCATACGGTTCACGGCCATCCCACCCTTCAAAAGGCTCCCAAATTGAAAGTGCTGTCTTCAAATAATCGTGGCTGGCGCCTGGTGTGGAAGGAACCGGCTCACATCGATCCTACTGATGAAAACGATTATTCTGACTCTGATAGTGTCGAGTCCAATTTCGGGTTAACCCCCTTCGAATCACCAACTCTGCAGCTGCTGCTTGTCGGTACTCTGGGCCACCTTGCGCCGCCACCGCCATTGGACCACACAAACACGTTCTTCGTGCAAAGACAACACTTCCATAAACTCAACTTGAAGCGGGCGTTTTTGCGTGGTTCGTGGCACCGGATCGATTTTGTGCTGATGGTGACGTTCTGGATCCTGTTGCTTTTGCTGATTAACCATTATGACGCCAACCACCATATCTTTCTCTTCCGGGCCCTTCTGTGTTTGCGGATCCTCCGCTTCTGTAACTTGACCACCGGTACGCTGACGGTGCTTACGCTGATTAAGCTTGCGATGCCACAGTTGATTGATGTTGGGGTGTTTATCTCGTTTTTCTGGTTGTTTTTCTCCATTGTCGGGGTCTCCAGTTTCAAGCTGAGTCTCACCCGCCATTGCGTGTGGACCAACCCCGACGACCCCAGTGACACTTGGGTTAACAGTGATCAGTGCTGCGGCTCGTGGCTTGCTCCCAATGGTACGCTGATGCCCTATATCCAGCGTGACGGTCTGATGAGTGAACAGCGTAAGGGGTTCAAGTGTCCGATAAACTCTCAGTGCATCTCGGGAGATAATCCATTCAACGGTACGCTCAACTTCGACAATGTTCTTCAGCTGGCGGAGATTGTGTTTGTGGTGGTGTCGGCTAATACGTTTACGGATATCATGTACGACACCATGGACCTGGACTCGATGGTCGCCAGCTTGTTCTACATCCTGTGTATTTTCATCTGTACCGTGTGGTTGATTAACGTGTTCATTGCCGTGATTGTTGCCAGTTTCAACATAACGCGGACCGAGGAAAGCAAACGTCGTCAGGAGGAGGAGAAACTGGTGTGGAGACAATGGATGCTGGCCGCCGAGCACTCGATGAAAGTGGGGAAGTTGAAAAAACGTAACTGGCGACTTAGACTCTACTACAACATGGAATTCTTGTTTATCATACTCATCTTTGTCGACTTAATCGTCCAGTGTCTTAGAACTGCCTACTCCAGTGAAACGACGTTGAACTTGATCAATAACTTTGAGCTTGTGGTGACGCTGATTCTCTTTTTCGAGATTATACTCCGCTTGGTGTTGTATTTACCCGACTGGCGCGGGTTCGTGTCTCTGCGACGCAATATGACGGACTTGGCACTTGCCATTGTGACGATGGTCATCGCGATCCCCCCCGTCCGTAAAGGGCTTGGCCAGGTATACTTTTGGCTTACAGTGTTCCAGATTTTGAGAATCTACCGGGTGGTGTTGCTGACGAAAGTTACCCGGTCGCTCTGGCTCCGGCTCTTCAGTAACATCAAGCAATTGTTCGACTTGGCGTTGTTCTTCTTCATTATCACTTACCTCGTCGCCATCATCTGCGCCCGCTACTTTGAAGGCCAGATTGGCCCCGACGACATGGACTTAACGGAAAATGCCTTCCCCATGCACACGCTCCCCAATGCGTTTGTGGCGTTGTACATCATCACCCTGACGGAAAACTGGACGAAAATCATGTACGAACTCCAGGCAGCCGCCGTCACTACCCTGCAACGGGTATTCGGGCTGATGCTCTTGGTGTTCTGGTTTATTTTCTCCAACTTCATTGTTCTCAACATTTTCATTGCTGTCATTTCCAAGACGTTGGAAGTGTCTGAGGAGGGGAAACGTCGCAACCAATTATTGCAGTTTATTGACAACATCACCCACAAGTTGCTGACGATGAACATCGTGCTGACGTCCAAATTGCAACAGTGGAAGCTGAGAGTGTTTGACGGCAAGTTCCGCCCTCAAAATAAACTGACGGAACAGGCAGTGATCAACTTATTGTTGCTGGGGCTGGCCATTAATGATTTCATCGATGAAACTGAGGTGGACTCCGAAGAACAAGAGATCCGCGAAGGTAGTCGCAACTGGAGACTGAGGTTCCTGAAGTGGTGGCGCCGCCGCTACGGGTGGGCCAAGCGGAAAGTGGATAACCCATTTTTCGAACTGGCCCATTTAAAGTCGAAACATAACGCCTTGGTGGAAGAGTTCAACCCGCTGCAATTCGCTCATAAAATCTTACAGGAACGGAACGCGTTGGTGCTGAAACAGAATAAGTTTTTGATGGAAAACCCGCGGTTCAATAACGTGTTCTACGTGATTGCGCCGCGTCACCCGTTGCGTCGATTCTGTCAGCGGTTAGTGAAGCCCAGTTATGGGACCCGTGTCAACGGGGTCGAACCCTATAAGTACGTATCGGAAGCGTTGACGGTTTTCGCCTTTCTCGCTACCATCGCCTTAGTGGTGACGACGCTGTACATGACTCCCTTGTACCGTAAGCAGGAGTTTGAGAAGACCGGCACCCAATACAACTGGACGTTCTGGATTGAAGTGGCGTTTGTGGTGTGTTTCTCGTTAGAGTTTTTGATAAAAGTGATTGCTGATGGGTTCTTCTTCACTCCTAACGCCTATTGCCGGCTGCCGTGGAATATCATTGATCTTATCGTGCTCATCTCGATTTGGATTGAACTTATTGCTCTGTTGAAATCGGCAGGAAACGTTGTCCGAGTGGTACGTGGTCTTAAGGCTTTGCGAACGTTCAGATTGTTAACCGTACTGGAGACGGCCACCCACATCTTCCACAACACGTTGTTGACGGGTTTCACCAAGATCATCGAAGCCATGTTCATTTCGTTTTGTTTGTTGTACCCGTACTCGATCTGGGGGCTCAATATCTTTAATGACCGTTTGGGATACTGTCTCGATGGGCAACTGACCCGCGACGAGTGTATGAACGAGTACTCCAACCTGGTGTTCAACTGGGATATCCAACTGCCGAACGCATACGTCAATCCCGAGCTTAAGTTTAATCGATTCAGTGACTCGTTGGTGTCTCTTTTCGAGATTATCTCGTTGGAAGGGTGGACAGACTTGCTTACCAACGTGATGTCGCTGACAGGTAGAGGTACCCCGCCACAGCCGTTCGCGCTGCCGTGGAACGGGATCTTCGTCATGTCGTTCAACTTCATCCTGACGGTATTTATTCTCACGTTGTTTATCTCGGTTATTATTCTGAACTACTCTAAAGTGACGGGGAGAGCCTACATGACGGTCGACCAGATCTCGTGGTACCAAGTGGTGAAGATTTTGAAACAAGTGAGACCGCTGAAGCGGCAAAGAAACCCTGAGAAGTTGGGTCCCATCCGTCGCTTTTGTTACCGACTCACAGTGGAAAAGGAACTGGTATACTGGACTCACTTTTTGAATCTCATTTTGTTTTTGCATGTCCTCTGCCTTCTCCTCGAACACTTCCCCTCCGATACTTTTTCAGCGATAAATGACTTCAGGCTGGCGATGTTTATGATCTCGCTGTCGTGCTTCTTGGTCAACTCATACATGTCGTTGATTGCCAAAGGGTTCAAGAACTTCTTCCAAAACAAGTGGAACCCGTTCTTCCATTTCATATCGTTGGGGGCGTTCGTCACTACGTTAGTGGGTCTTATCTACAACAGAGCTCACTCTACCGTTTTCTACAACATCAACGAGTTGTTCTTGGTAGCGATGCTCTTGTACATCATCCCCAAGCTGAACCGGTTGTCGCAGTTGCTTCGATTCGCCTCGGCTTCGCTTCCCGCCATTCTTTCGTTGGCGTTCACTTGGGGGGTGTTGTTCCTCGTGTTTGCCATTGCCATGTGTCAGATCTTTGGCCTCACCAAGATTGGACCCAACGGTAATGATTACCGTAACTTGCGGCTGGTACCGAAAGCGCTTATCCTCTTGTTCCGGATGTCGTTTGGTGAAGGGTGGAACTATATCATGAACGACTACATGCTCGAAGAACCGTTCTGTACCCGGGGTCACGACATGGATGACCTGGACTGCGGCAACAAACCGTACGCCTACATCTTGTTCATCGCGTGGAACTTGCTTCTGATGTATATTTTCCTCAATATGTTCGTGTCGCTTATCTTAGACTCGTTCTCATATGTCAGTCGCAAACTGGGCTACAGTCACTTGATTGAGAGACAAGAGATCCGTAAGTTTAAGCGTGCATGGCAACAGTTTGATCCTGAGGGTACGGGCTACATTCTGCCCCATGATTTGGTTCCTTTCATTCATGAACTTAATGCGCTGGGATCATCTCTCAGTTTCGACAGTTTCTTCTACCGAGGCGACTTGAACTTGCGGCGACTCACCAATCGCTGGATTCGACGCAACAATCCGATTGATCCTTACGATATTCTGATTGACCGTCAGCGTTTGGACGACGTGTTTGCCAAGATCGATTGGGACAAAGTGAAAGACCGCCGCCACCAAATGGAGCTTTTCATCGAAGAGGCATTGATGCGGATGAAGTTGAATAACGAAGAAGGGATCAGTTTCACTGGGTTCTTACTCCAAGTGCCGCTTTACACCGCGTTTGAAGCCGGCAGATGTCTTGATTTGACCGATTTCCTCGAGCGGCGTCTTTTGCTCCAAAAGGTGGAGAAGTCACTCAAGGTGAAGCGAGTATACGAATTGGTATCAGCTTTCGCCTTACGTTGGGTGATGAAGAAGGATATGGCTAAAGGAGATAAGCCTGAGGCTGTTGATGAAGCGGCTAAGTTGAAGAAAATGGACCGCAATAGCCACCAACAGTCACCGCAAACCAGTCCTAAGTTTAACAATCCGTTCAAGGATATTGATGACATGATTGCTCAACCAGTATTTGATACACTGGGATTAAGCAGTCCCTTCCACGGATCCTACGAGCCGGCGGAACCGTTGGATACTTTCCATCATGACGATACAAAAGATGAAGACGACAGCTCGTTTGTCTACCAAGAAGAGGAGATTAGAGTGAGAGCACCGCTGATGCCGTACCCTCCCTTCGGCTTTGTCCGAGAAGTAGCAGATACGGAGCTGTTGGATAACGTTGAGATCACGGGGTTGGGTATTTCTCAGCAATCAACAAACCCGCCACGGAGGCGACCTCCTCCCGGTGACTTTTAGCATTTTATTACATAGATTAAAGCATACATGACTTATTTATTTCAGCCATTTGCGCAGCACAAGGCACCGTGCCGCTTGAGGGTATTTTACTTCGGCAAAGTACGTTTTAAGGTGAGCTTGAAAGTCTTCGCCCGTCATCGGAGGGAGACACGACATGTAGGTGAGGTAGTCTCCACTAATGTCAACGAGTTCGTCGGTGAAACTGTCCGGTGGGATGTCTTTAGCATTAGGATGGCATTGTGAGATATCGGGAATGCCCTCCATTTGAGGCACAAGGAGACAGCCCTTCAGGTGGTCGAAATTATACCGCTTGACTCGGTAGTCCCAGGTACCCCAATCGAATTCGATCTCACATCCAAATTCGCAACTGCTCTCCTTCTTGGTTCCTCCATTGCACGCAAATCCCACAACATTGTTGTTGGCATCGTTGGCAATGTTGCTGTAAGGAATACCTGCAAGAGTCAATACCATCTTCACGTACCCAATAATCTGATGAGGAATGGGGTATCCAGAGTAAGTGGGGTGGGGAAACTCGTGAGGAAGCGACAGTACTTGATGTGAAAGTCTCTGCCAATCAAGGAAAACGTATCCACTCGTAGTATTATCACGAGAAAATATTAAAGGGAATCCTGATTGAGTAAATTTTCGATGTTTCTCATTGAATTGCACGTCGGGAGACTTCGTAGTGAACTCTGGGTGACATGGTTGAGGGTATATTAACGGGAACACACGAGTGTGGTCAGGAAATAAGTTATTAGGTGATGGAGGGTGAGATTTCAAGGAAGCATTGAGTCCTTGGAGAACCTTCAACTCGTGTGTTGAACAAGCAGCTTCTCGTCTTACAAGTTCCCACTCGCGTCTCACGACATTGAGTTCGCAATGATGGACCACCAGTTCCCGCTCAAAGAGCGCTCGGTCATACTCTTTGTACTGCTTCCCTGTCCCACCCAAACATTCATAGTCCATTGTTTTGGGTCTCTGTCCCCACCACCGTTCGTAATGGCGACCAGGCTTCGCTGGGTGGAGTACAATTGATCTTGAGTTCACATCATACTCATACCTCGACGTAGGCGCTAATTCAATTCCACAATGCCAACTATTGAGCGCTTGTATTTCACGAAAGTGTACTTCATTTTCCCGTTGTAAAGCGATGGCTTCACGTTCTTTGACTATGATTTCTTGTTCGCGTAACTTTCTTTCCCGACGGTACAAGTCAGCGGCAACCACCTCATAGAGGTGTGCTCTCCCATCAATTGACTTACGCCTGCCTGGTGGCGATCGAGGCTTCACGGTAGTGGCTCCAACATTGAGAGTAATCTTAGGTTTCTTTCTTTGAAGTCGTGAAGGAAGTGCAGGACTGGGCGAAGGTGGTTCCTGTTTATCCGGTCCCGGAATTGAAGTTTTGCGACTGTTGATCTCTGAAGCATAGATCACCGCAACCCGATCACTGGGAGGTGTTTGGAGTGATGATCTCGCTGGCGTTGTAACCTTCAGGCTCAAGCGTCTTTTCCTCACTCTCGGTGGAGACATTTTCTGTGAACTACAGAATTCATGCGCTGATATCGGGGTTCATATAGACCACTCGTGAAGTGGAGTTGATCCGGTACATGTTCTGAAACCGTTGGTTGCCAACTCGCGTTTTGAAACGCGTCCGGTGGATCTCGCAGTATGAAAAGATAAAAAAATAATTTTAGGCGAGTCCACCAAACCCCACTGTACCCCACCAATTACTGAGTGCCCATAATCATGTATTAGTCTATTCATCAAGGGCCATACGAATATCGGAGATTTTCGATGCAAGCTTGTGGAACTCCATCCGCTCGGCGATCTTGGTGGCGGCGACAAGCGCCCGGTCGGTTTTCATCATCTTGGCAACCGATAATGCTCTTGCCAACCGGGTGCTCTTGCACAGTTCACCGAACATAATTAAAAGCGAGCGATCGAACATTTCCGAATATTGCTCCAACCGCTCCATAATCTCTTCATCAGGCTTATCTTCACCACCAGCAAAGTCACTAAGCATTTTACCCATAGTGTAGGCCCGGATGAACTGCTCTTCCGGTTCAATCATCGCCTGGTCGGTGTCCTTGGTCGTGTATGTACCGACAGGTAGTTGGATATCCAACTCAATTGGCAATGGCAACGGGAACCCGGGGTATCGTGATGCCTGTTTGAGGACAATGCAGTTCAATTTATCCTCCCACAACCCCAAGGGCCAGCACTTCCAGTTCTTCCGGAAGTTATCGCCTTCGTCCTCCGACGATTTCGTCACTGCATGGTGACAGTTGAGGAGAGGCACCCACCGAGCGTTGCCGCTTTCGCGCCACGAGTGAAGGGTCAACAACGCGTCATCGGCACCGCATACGATGCAGGGGTCGTTCATTTCGTTGTAAAACATCCCCTTGATCAACGGCACCTCGCTCAGCAGCGGCACGCTCATCGGCAACACCCGATCCTGCTGGACAAACCGGTAGTCGTCCAGAGTGTCGACAATGTTGTAGAAGTAGCTCGAGCCCACCTGGTGCACCGAAAACATCATCCCCACTGCCAGCAGCATGAGAGACACCACTGGGGCCATCTTGAGCACGGAAAGACACACCCCGTCGACGTTATACACTCTGACGTAGCCAAGCAGAGTGCCCACCACCACTAGGTCTTCGTCGGTCCGGCGACGGGACGCGGCACTGAGGGCCACACAGGTGATGTATTCTCCTTCAAGCAACGGCACCTGGCGCTCCCAGGCATCCAGTTCGACGTCATGCTGGCGGTAATAAATGATACCATTGTCTACCTCTTTTGCCGAGTCGTAACCCAGTTTAGCGAGAACAATCCCATGACGGTTAAGCGAACAGAGATCGTAGCCATAGTTGTCGACAAAGTGGTAGTCGTGGTGGACATTATGGTCGAAGAACAGCACTGTGATCAGTTGGCGTTCAGCACCAGAACGACTACACCAGGCGTACCCGGTGGAGTTCATCGCCATGTAACGACGATCGTTAGTCAGACCCTGAAGATTCCAGGGCGTCAGACCAGGAGAATAAGGAGTAATTTCGGGAACGAAGGCGCCCGCGGTTGAAGCCAGAGATTTGAAGCGTTTGGCTGGAGGCTGGGTTTCCCCGAAAAGCCCGTCATCATCGTCATCAGGGTAGTGGCCGTTATCATCAATCCCAGCCAAAAGCTCTTCGTCGCTGTCGCCATCGTCATCAGCTTCATTGTCAACGAATAAGCTTGCAGCGGGTTCGGGGAGTTTAAGTTTGTCTCTGACCACATAGATGCTACCCTTCAGCGACCCGACAAACACATCGCGATCTTGAGCGAACAAGTTAAGAAGCACTCCCTCGGCATTAGAGGGCACTTGAAACTTTTGGTTACCCGTTTGAGCATCGTATAAAGTGACCCCTTGAGGGCCAACAGTGACAACGTGGTCGCGGATGTAGTGAAGGTCATGGCACTTGCCACAGTCAAAGAAATGAGACTGCTGCCACTTTTTGTCGCGGCTGTAGAATGCCAATTGGTTAGTGGCGGTAGGCACGGCAAGGATGTCTCCCTGGGGACTCCACTGAGGGCGAGTACTGGCCAATTCGTCCTTGTGCTCATCTTCGTAGTCAATGGCATCCAAACTGAGGTGCATCTTTTCACTGATGACATCGGTAAGGGTGTGGATTAAGTCAGGGGTTTCATTTACCGTGGAGTAGATCGCCACTGAACCATTGGCCAACGCCACCGCCAAAAGCTCGCTGCGGTCATTATAGGCCAAATTGACCACCATATCCGCCTGGCTAATCTCTAACGGGGTACCAGAGCCAGAACACACCACAAGCTTAGCATCACCACCGCCACAAGCAATACGGTCGCCACTCATGATCACGGCATCGCGTAGGGGCAATTCCAGGCGGTAGATGACGCCAGTACTCTGGTTTTCCTTCAAATCAACCACCTCGACGTTCCCAGCAGTGTTTGTCACCACTGCCTTGTCGCCATGAGTGTCCACTGAGCACAAGTTGGCGATAATGTCCACCAGCACTGGTTCGAGCTCAGGGTCCAGCACGTCAAACACTTTGAGGATACCGGCACTGTTGGCCACAAGCAACCGCTGGTGCTTGGTATTGTATCGTACCAACGAGTTTCCTTCCGGAAACGCCGTGATCACGTCCATTATGGTTTGGCTTGTGGGTGGAAGGTTGATGATGAGGGTTACGCGTAATCGCGCTACAATTAAACGCGTCACCCCACCAGCCCGCCACCAGAGACAACATCGATGAGAAAATTAGAGTGAAACCATATGTCATCACGTGGTGAAAACGTTTAGCAATTTATCAAATGATAATTTTAACAATGGTGTTGTATCCACCAGGCTCGTTAACAACTATTTTTACCTACCAGAGGTCACTCATGTAGAACTGATGGAACTGATGGGTATCATCTCCATAAGTAATATCAAGCCCATAATCATAAACGTGGATGAATTTGTCGGCATCTTCTCGAGAAAATGTATTATAGACGACATTCTTCAATCCTGTCTTATAGCCACCAGGAATTGCATTTAAGTTGCGACGATAATTTATAAACCGTCCATGAATAAATGCTTGGTCTCCTTCACTGAGGTTAGCGTGAACAGTGAGCACTTTCTTGTATCTTTGGATGAGTTTCCCCATGGCGGCTTTCTGCTTGCCATGAGCCTCGGCTTCTCTTTGTCCTTCAGAATATGAAGAAGGGTCCATAGCTTCATTGACGTCTAACTCATCATGGATGTCCCGACATTCTTTCGTGTAAGCGTGGCGACACTTCACAAGTAACCACAAGACATTACCTCTTTGGTATGGATTTAATCCTGGGGTCTCCAGTATAACTCGTTCGATAACGTAATCGATGTTCAGGTGTAATGCCTGGATTTCTTCTCGAGTTTGGTCCCGTAACTCAAGCGCTTCCTTAATACACTTTTGGAATCGTGGATCCATGGGCAAAGGTATGGCTCCTGTGGAAATCGCTCACTGCCTCCCATACATATGCCAATGTACGACTTTCCTAAAACCCCTAAACCTAATAATCTGACCATTTACTTCAGTTGCCTGTATAAGCTAAGGCGCGACTTCTATACAATGCATTCCCTTAAAATAATTTATTGGTGTATAAGCTGTTAGGCCCATTCGGGCTTAGTGTTGTAGTCGTCGTTTCTTCTTCGGTTGCCACCGCGGCCACCACGACCGCCACGACCACGGCCCCGGCCCCGACCGCGACCGCGACCACGAGAACCAGACACCAGAGACTCACCGAAGGTGTCCATGTTCAACGTCTTTTCTTCGCTCCACCGCATCGCTTGGTGTTGTTCAGTAGACAGCGAAATAGTGTCAAAGAACGACAGCTTCTTGTCGTAGGCACCGGCTTCTTGTTCAGCCCGCTCTTGTTCCCGATCACGAGAGAACTTGGCATTGGCTTGTTCGAAGTCAAACTCCTCCGAAGGGATAGCAGTGGCAGTGGCGGCGGGAGCAGCAGGAGCAGCAGTAGTCGTTGCCGTCGCCGTGGCCGTGGTGGTAGGCGGCAGAGGTCTAGCACCTGGTTGAGGAGCAGGCGGGTGAGACGTATTCGCAGTAGCAGTGGTCGTAGACGGCGCCGCAGCAGGAGACGCCGTCGTCTTCGTAGGCTCAGGGCGAGAACCAGCGTATTGAGGGGCAGTCTGCGGCGATTGCTGAGTTTCACCACCCGACGTAACTCCCGTGGGAACCGCTTGAGGGTACAGAGGCCCCTGCTGGCCCATAGAAGTGGCCACAGGCTGTTGCTGGTGGTACATACCTGGTTGAGGAGGAGGCACGTATGGTTCGGGCTTCACCTGGTCAATGGGGATATCCAACACCGAGAGATCCTTGACATCGGACCCTCTAAACACGACGTAATCGTAGACCTCCAGCCCTGGGGGCACTTCGAACTGGGGCTTGCCCTCGGCGGCGAAACGCCCTTCCAGCCCAAACAAGCGCACCTGCTTCAACGCCACGGTGGCGTCGTCGGCGTTGATGTTGTCGAGCAAACCAACATAGCGCAATCCCTTGTTCAGGATCAACAGGATCGTCTTGCCGATGTACTGGGACATTAAGGGCGAGTCGGTGGTTGGCAAGGGTGGCTGCTAGCGCGACGAAATGAAGCCGCACCCCGTCAGTCGCTGGCTCACAGTTGAGACAACAATTTGAGGAACACAATCTAAATAGTTTAAGTTCAAAATCTTGTGACTTTGAAGAGTATGGTTAGCTAAATTCCTTGGTAAAGATATCGGTGGCAGGGTGGAATTCGACAATTGTCATACTGATCATTTCTATGATGAATTGGCCCTGGCAATACGAATATAAGTGAAAAGTGAAAACAAAAAAATTTCAATATAGTAAATATGATGATAGGTTATATTATCATCAATATTTGTCATCATATCGTACACTCTCCCACTTCTTCACTACTTTTCCCTTGACTCTTCCCATAACAGGGTCGCGCTGGAGACAAAATCTCTTCTCGACGGTGACCATGGACGACGAAGAACACACTCGCCCGGTGGAAGAGACGGTGCTCAAGGAAGAAGAAGAGGCTTCCGTTGACCCGCCGCAAGTGGATGAGGCCGAGGAAGACTTGATCGAAGACGCCCGCAGGGAAGCCGATGAGCTTGACGCCAATGACAACGCCGAAGGCGCTGAAGGTGCTGAAGGCGCTGAAGGCACTGAAGGCACTGAAGGCACTGAAGGCACTGAAGGCACTGAAGGGGCTGAAGACGAAGAGGCGCTCCTCAACGAGGATGTGGCCGTTGAAGATGATGTCTACTCGCTCCCTTCGTTCAAAAACAAGGATCTGCAACAGAAAACCATCAAACGGAACGTTCGCCGAGCGAGACCTGATTCTAACTCCCACTCGCCAGTACCGATGGAAGCAGCGCCTCCTTCTTACGAGCAAACCCCTGCTTACGAAGAATACAGCAATGAGGACCCAGAAACCCGCAAGCGCCGTGAGCTTGAAGCGAAAATGGACGCTGCGGTCAAGGCCAAGGCCACCAAGCGGAGAAAAGTCGACTATGATGACATCGAAAGGATGCAAGATGATAAGATTGATTTGCTCAAGCAACAAATGGTGTATGCTGCCACTGTGGACGTGGAAAAGAATGGCAGAGGTGAGATTGCCACGGAGAAGCTTAAGCTTTTGCCCGAGGTGATCGACATCTTGCTGAGAGCCGACTTGGCGATTTCTGTACTCGACAACAACTTGTTGGATGCGGTGAGACAATGGTTAGAGCCGTTGCCTGATGCGCTGATGCCCGCCTATCAGATCCAAAAGGAATTGATCACGGCGTTGGAACTGATGCCGATCAAGACCGACCACCTTGTCGCTCTGGGTATCGGTAAGGTATTGGTGTTTTACCAACGTCTGAAGCGTACCGAGGCGTCGCTTAAACGGATTGTTGACCGTTTGATCAGTGACTGGACGAGACCTATTTTGAACAAGTCTGACTCTTATAAGGACCGGACCATCGCGTTCTCGGCGTACGACAAGAAGCGCTACGCCAACCAATTGCTGTCGCAACGGGTCAAGTCTAAGGAAGCCAAGACCCTTTACGAAGTGAACGCCGAAAGAAGAAATCGGGCAGCCATTCCCCTGGCGCGGACGACTGCCTACAAGATTGCTCCTCAAGTTGACCGTGACCTGTTGCGTACGAACCGTAACCAATCCGATGAGCGTTTCAAGAGCATCCAGCTGAAGATGACTAACATGGGGCGTCGTAAGGCCACTAAGAAGGCTGGACCGTCTATTGAGGGTAAGGGACTCAACATGTAAATTACGAGTTATGCAATACACACTAATGATGAGATTAAACGTAAGACACAGAAAGCAAAAAGAATACAGCTTGTGGTGGGCTGGGAATAGGCAAAAAGAAGTGATTCCGCCCGGGCTCGATCCGGGGACCTCATCCGTGTTAAGGATGCGCCATAACCAACTAGACTACGGAACCTGTTCGAGCGTTTTAACAAGTTGGCTTTATGGTAAACTGTTGGTTGAAACAGTTTATGAATCGCCTAGAACTTGTCCTCAAAAACTGTATTTTTGTAGTCCAAACTTACACAGGTGTCGCGTCAAACTATTTTTAACCCTCTTCAGAGCATATTTGTCGATTTTGGCAGATCCAGCTCTTCGCAGCTGGGTGCGACTATTTCTCACCACACGCGTAATTAACTAGACGCGTATGTCACTGACCCGTCCCGAACTCAAGTTTGCTGACACCACCCACGAACGTCTGTACTTCCGGAAACTCGCCCAGCTTCCGGAAAAAGACGATCTGGTGGTGCTCCGAATCGTGGACCATAAGGACTACTTTTCGTGTGTTGGAGCCGATGCCGAATTGGTTGCAAATGATATCTACCACACGCCGCTGGTGATCAAACACCACCAGGACACTCCCTATGTGACTATTCTGCCTCAAGTGTTGTTCTCGTTGTTGAAATATGTGTTGTTAGACAAGGGGATGAAGGTTGAGTTCTACTCGCTGCCTAACATCACTCAGATCTGTGTGGGATCTCCCGGGAACTTAGACGCAGTGCTGAGTCAATATGGCTTTAACTTTGAGTTTGCTGATGGTCTGACTCCGGTGACTGGTGCCATTAAGGTATCTCAGGGACAAGTGGGGTTAGCGTGTTGCGACAGCACCAACCACTTGGTGTGGGTGTCTCAGTTTGATGACAATGAATTGTACTCTAATCTTGAGCTGGCACTCTTACAAATTGGGGTCAAAGAAGTCATTGTGCCTTATCTGCGTAACACTAAGGTGCCTGACCAGCTCAAATTGCTCCAAATGTTGGCCAAGATCGACGGTATTCTCGTCGATGAGCACCGTAACTTCAACGCTAACAACATCAATGATGACTTGGCAAAGATAATTGACACCGACGACGAAAATGTCACTCCCACCATCTACTTGAAGTCGAGAGGTATTGACGAAACTAAGCTCCCGTTGGCGATGGAGTGCACTGCAGCAGTGATTGACCACCTTCACTTGTTAGAGCTGGAAACTCCATTTGACTTTAATCTCTTCAACTTGGCTGATTACATGCGCATGGATCTGCTGACGATTAAAGCGTTGAACTTGTTCCCGGCGGGGCTGGGCCAACGGCAATCTAGTCTTAAGCCGGGTACCCAGGTGACCCTGGTGTTTGAGCTTTATAGTCGATACTGCAAATCCACTGCCGGTCAGCGGCTTCTCAGTCAATGGCTCAAACAGCCTCTTACCAATTACGAACACATTTCTCGTCGTCAACAATTGGTACAAGCGATGGTTGATGAACTGGTAGCTCGGCTCTCGGTGCATGAATGGCTCCAAAAGGTTCCTGATATCAGACGGCTCATGGCCAAAGTGTCACTGAAGCTGCAAGATTACCTGAATAAGCGGTTGGACGACATTGTCCGTCTTTACCAATTAGTGCAATCTTTACCGGCTCTCACTGAAGCCTTAGAAGATTTTGATGAACCATTGATTAAGTCTGAATTTGGCGACACGCTTAATGAAATCTCCACTCACTTGACTAAATTTGCTGAGCTCGTTGAGTACACAGTTGATTTGCTGGCGCTTAACCTGGCGCTGTTGGTCGGTGCCGAATTCAACGTCAAGCCTGAATTTGACGAAGGGCTTGTGGAAATCGCCAACACTCTTGCTCGAGTCGAGCGAGACATCCAAAGAATCCATGAGGAAGTGGCTGACGACTTGGGCATGGAACTTAACAAGAAGCTCAAGTTGGAAAAGCACCAAGTTCATGGTTGGGCTTTGAGAGTTACCCGTAATGACTCGCTGGTGTTGCGCAACACTGGTAAAAAGTACCCTCAACTCCAAACGGTGAAGGCCGGGGTGTTTTTCACTACCCCTCGCCTTCAAGAGCTCGCCAAGGAATACGACGACACCCACTCACAATATAACTCGAAGCAAGCTGAGCTCATCCGCAATATTCTAGACATTGCCGCCACGTATCTGCCTAAGTTCACTCAGCTTTCATTGTTGTTAGGAACAATTGACGTGATTGTCGCTTTCGCCATTGCTGCTATCACTGCCAAGATTGAGTACGTTCGTCCTCAGTTAATTGAGATCGGTCAAGAAGGGCGTAGGGTGGATTTGAAGGATCTGCGACACCCAGTATTGGAGGAACAGCCTGATCTCGTCATCGTAGCTAACGATGTTGACATGCAACCTCATGGTTTCCTGATTATCACTGGTCCTAATATGGGTGGTAAGCTGACGTATATTCGTCAAGTGGGGGTGATTGCATTGATGGCTCAAATTGGTCTGTTTATCCCAGCGGCAGCGGGAGCTACACTCCCAGTATTTGACGCTATTCTTCTGCGTATTGGTGCTGGTGACTCTCAATTGAAGGGGTTATCTACATTTATGGTGGAGATGTTGGAAACGTCGCTGATCCTCGCGCTGGCGACTCTGGACTCTTTGATCATCATTGACGAGCTTGGACGGGGTACGCTGACCTACGACGGTTTCGGTTTAGCTTGGGCCATCTCTGAACACCTCATTGCCACCACCAAATGCTCCACTCTTTTCGCCACTCATTTCCACGAAGTGACTGAACTCGCCGACAAATACCCTGACCAAGTGAGCAATCTTCACGTTGTCGCCGAGGTTGGCAGTAGCAGCGATGACATCACATTGATGTATAAGGTTGAGCCGGGTATCAGTGATCAGCTGTTTGGTATTCATGTGGCTGAAGTGGTGAAGTTCCCCGCCAAAATTGTCAACATGGCCAAGCGCAAAGCTCTGGAGCTTGTTGAAGGGGGTGAGCTGGTGTGTAAGCGGTTGAAGGCCACCGATGAGGTGAAGGAGGTGTTGCAGAAATGGCGTACTGAAATGGGCGGCAAAGTTACCGATGCTGACGCTGCTGTCGCTCGCCTTCGTGAGTTGACCCGGGACATGGTCGACGGCAAGGCGTTACAAGAACTTGTAGACACTTTATAAATAATGCATTTGAATATAAATAATTGTTTGGACTCGAACTTGTAGACATATTGTTTAGATCTAAAAATCTTTACTTTTTCCCATCAAAATTGCAAAATCAAGGATTTATCGATGTCAGTAAGGATTTGTATTCTCAGCAAGAGAGTGGACTGAAACACTAATGAATGAAAATTCTACTGACAACGAAAAGCAGAAACGGCTGCATCATTAATTCCATGTGTCGGTCGGTTACTGCTGCAAATCAACAACTTCAATGCTGATGCAAGTGATGACAACCAAAGAGAAATCCCAATGCAGAAGCACAACAAATGCTGATTAGTTTCATCCAAAGAGTAGCCACGATAGAGTTTCGATAGAGTTTCGACAGACGATTTCCAGACTTTACTATCGTCACTTCGCTCGTTCAAACATACATTCGGTACGCTCATTTATCGATTGGCGCGAAGTGACCCCAAATGCACCTTACACTTTGGGCAAACGTTGATGAAATAGATAATTGCTTACAAACGAAGCAGAGCACTACTATTAATGACACCATTTTTAAAATCACCAACGGGCTGTCACCATGCACGTAAATCTTAGTCACGGATCTTTCTAGATTGTTCAGCCTCGTGTGTCATTCGATCCTGCACACAGCCAGAAAGAAAGGTGCGGGTGTCGCGCTAAAAAATGGTGACAATCTCGTCAAAGGCCCATCACCCTAGCCACCATGTTTTCTCCCGACGATATCGTGGGCCAAGAGCTCAAGCACAACCTTACCCTCGAAATCCAGCGGCGCTACAACCTCGGCGAGGATGCTAAGGACTACGCCGACTACATCGTCATGTTGATGGCCACGGGAAAGTCCAACGCCGATGTCGTCAAGGAGATCAACGAACTCTCGTCGGAAATGAAAATTGACGAGCAATTTGTCGCCATCATCTATCAAGAAGCTCAGAATATCATTGAGCGGGTCCAGCAACAGCAACAAATGCCGCAACCGCCGCAACAGGCGCCGGTAGCGGCGGCTCAGCCCCAACCGGAGTTGCCTCCTTTGCAATCGACATCGCAGCCTCAAGCGACGTTCCCTGTACCTTCAGTGGCCATGCCTCCGTCGCAACCGCAGCTGGCATTTGCTGATCAAATCGCTCTGTCATCTACTGGGCTTAACCTTGCCTCGGCTAGGCCGCGGGTTAAAGTGCCTGAAGGGCCTAAAGCATCGCTCAAAGGAGTGGGTCGTAAAGCCGGTGCCGGTGGCATTGGCAAGAAGCAGCTGAACCCTCGTGACTTTAACAGCAAACTGCAACAACGCGGGCCGCAAAAGCAGTTGGCGGCGAAGGTTGAAAAGGCGATGGAATTGTCCGACAACCAGGTGCACATCACGCAGAAGACGCGGGGCCGGTGTCCTGACTTCCCCAACTGTCCCAAAAAGGACTTTGAGTGCTCGTTGGCTCACCCTACTCGCCTCTGTTACGCTCACCCTAAGTGCCCTAATCCTCCCGGTACTTGCAGATACTTGCACCCGGGTGAAGACGATGAGCTCATTGCCGCTAACGAAAAGAAGAAGAAAGAATGGGTGGAGAAGAAGAAGTTGCAATTGCAATTGCAAGCGGCTAAGTGTAAGTTTGGCGCCAAGTGCGCTAAGGACCTGTGCCCCTTTGTCCACCCTACTCCGGCCAACCCCAATGCGTTTGTCGCCACTCTCGACTGGTGTCCTGACGGCAAACAGTGTATGAACGCCCAATGTGTGATGGCTCACCCCCCGCCTCCCACGGCCAAGCTGGCGGCCCAGGTGGCCGAAGAAATCCTGCTTCAGCAGTGCAAGTTTGGTAAGATGTGCACCAACCCCAAGTGTGCTCGTCGTCACGCGCAGCTGTTGGTGGCGTGCAAGTATGGTGCCGAATGCCGTAACGTCAACTGTGTCTTCATGCACCCCGTGGCTGAACCGTGCCGGTTTGGCGCTAACTGCAAGAACCCCAAGTGCTTTTACCAACACCCTGAAGGGCGGGCCAGTCATGGTCCGATGACGTGGACTCGCGACCAACAACAGTTTGCCGTCCCTGAAGACCAAGTGATGGAACAAGTGACTCAATAAATCACTTCAAGCCAGGGTCAAGTTAATGACGTTCTTTTTACGAATGCTTTTTTATGATGTGATATAATATGGGAAAAAGAAGTATTACCTCCAGGCGAGGAGGGGATGAGTTAAAGAGAGTTTAAATTAAGCAAATAAAAAAAGAAAAGAATTCAAACAAAAAAAAAAAAACAAAAAACAAAATTGAAGAGCATAGAGACAGAGACCTAGTAAAGACTCGTCACCCTAACGAATTTTAATGACTGACGACACTGTATAGAGTAATAGAGATAATTTTCATGGGAGATTGAACTCGAGTGAAATAGACCTTGAAACGTTAAACCTCCACAGTGTCGTTGGTGAAGTTAGTTATGTTTCAGTGCTTACATAGTGAATTAATCAATTAGTTTAGTTAAAATACTATAATACATTTAAGTATACACTTAGTATCTTCTCTTGGAGCCGGCGGCTTCTTCGGCGTAGGTTTCCAAGGGGCAGGCAACCAATTGCGATTCGGTCCACAAGTTGGGGGTCAAGAAAGCGTAGGTGTTACCGATGGCAATGAAGGCGGCCTTCAAGGTGTTTTCGGTGGTTCTGGTCGAACCCGACGAGGTGGTGTACACATCTTCGACACCGGCCAATTGCATCAACTTCTTGACGGCGGGCGAGGCGACGATACCCTTACCTCTGGGGGCGGGGATCAATCTAACTTGAACCGAACCACACTTACCGGTGACCTTACAGGGCAACGAGTGAGGGGCACCCAAGTTCGAACCCCAGTAACCTCTTCTGATGGGGATGATCGACAACTTGGCGATGATGATGGCGGCCTTGATGGCGGAAGCGACTTCCTTGGCGGTCTTGATACCCAAACCAATGTGACCGTTGGAGTCACCGATGACGACGACAGCCTTCATTCTGGTTCTTTGACCGGCTCTGGTTTGCTTTTGCACCGATCTGATCTTCATGACTTCGTCCTTAAGGTCGGGCAACAACAAGTCGACGATTTGGTATTCCTTGACGGGCAACGAGTGCAAGAAGATCTCTTCCATCGAGGTGATCTTGCCGGCCTTTACCAAACGACCGAGCTTGGTCACGGGGGTCCAACCCTTTTCTTCTTCTCTGCGACCGCCCTTGCGGCCACCTCTGCGGCCACCTCTACCGCCAAAGTTTCTTCTGGGAGCTTCAGACATTGTTAATTATCGGAATGTTACGTGGAAAGCCGGGGGGGTGGTTTTCGATCGATAATGGTTTGGTGCTAGGGTAGGTGGAAAATTTTCGGCGCCAGCGCGCCTGCGCACAGGCCCACCGCACTGGGGCAGACACCCGTCTCCCTCGATGATTTCAGATCACGTGATGCGAGTGCGATCGATTAGGGTTGGAGACCTAATGTCTCATATCCCTATGAAGATATGTGATCACTGTCGTCGCCTGCCTAGCAAGTGACGTCATCAGACGCTAATCGACTCTAGGTCGCCACCAGTCACAATCGCGACGGTTAACACCGCAAACCCCGTACAGATCAACACGACAACCGTAAAGGAAATGTCTGTAGTTTCAACGGTTTTCTCCCAGGTAGACAATCGGCGCTTAATTACTAGGGCGTAACGACTTCTCTCTCTCCAGTGGCGGTAGTTCGATCGAAGGGCGCGTTGAGCTTCCACGCGTCGACTCTATACTTTAGCGGTAGTCACGGAACGGAGGGTCCACCGGTGGCATTCCGTGAGAGCGCGCTCTACTGAGGTTACTGGCGGTGTAGCGTGATTGTTTCTTTTGTGATTGGTGGGGGTGGCGGGTCTCAATTGCTGCCGATGATGCCCCCGAATTCGCCTCCGCAACCTTAGCGTTTCGAGCAACTTGCGCATAGCAATCATGTCGCTAGGCGAGCGCTCGGCGCCGAAGAACCCCGTCGAGGGGTACCCCCAGAACCGCCATTATTGAGGGCGTAGCCGGTCAATTGAAGGCCTCTACCCATGTAAATGGCCCCGGAGAGCCTAGCGAAGCGGCCAATGCGGCCATAGACACTCTATTGCTCCCGCTAACGCCACTTTCTCCCGGTAGCTCGCTGCACGCGGCAACCCCATGTAGCGCTAGCCCCCTGCGCTATATAAACCAGGAGGCGCGCCCCATAGTCATTCCCTTTCCTTTCCCCGACGAAGAGAAACAATGTCTTACGCCAAAGCCGCTGCCTCTGGAGGACCCGTCAATCAAGCGGACAAGCTCCCGCAACCCGCCGAAGTGAAGCTGACCGCCACCCCGCAAGGCTCCGTCGAAGTGGTGCCCGAGGAAGATTTTGAGGAGTTGAAGCACGAGACGAAGAAGGACGCCCAGGACCTCGCCCAGGACGTCAAGAAGGGCGCCGAAGCCACCAAGAAGCAAGGGAAGCAGGCGCTCAACCAGGCGAAGAAGCAGGGCCAGGAAGCGCTCGACACCGCCGCCAAGAAGCTGGAAGAGACCTACAACGAGATGAAGGCGAAGTACGAAGAGCTCAAGAAGCAAGGTGGCGAAGCTTTTGACGAGTTCAAAAAGGAATTCGACCAGTTTGAACGCGAGTACTCCGCCAAGGCCCAGGAAGCCGCCAACGAGATCCACAAGCTGCTCAAGCGGTTCGACGCCCAGTACCTCAACGGCGCCGGGTCGGCGCTTGTGGCGCGCATCGAGCTGTTGTTGCAGCGCGCCTGGGTCGAATTGCAGAACCCGGTGGTGGTGGTGCAAACGGTGGTGGGCGCCTTGGAGTTGTCGGCGCTCTACATCGGCTACCGTGACCGACACAGAATCAACTTGGACAACCCGTTGGTGTTGGGCACTCACCTCGCCGTGATCACGGGGACCTACTTTGCCAACAAGCACTGGTTCGACAAGTACTACCCGCAATACGACCAGAAGCGCCTCACCAACTAGATAGATAATTCTCTTTGCCATCCCTCGACATCTTTAAATACACACGCGACAATATAACTGTTTTAATGCCACTGTACTTAATCACATTAATTGTATCCTCGAAGAAAGTTTGGGGGGTTAGCAACGAAAATAAATCCGTGCCAGCAACGTAACAGAATTACAAGAAAACAGGGATTAGCTGGTCTAATTGAGGCTAGGGTAGTGATCAAATCAATTTGTATCAATTGTCTTGGTCGTAGACACTACATATAACCCATAGTATCACCTCTTGATCCAACTGTGGCGTCCACTAGAGGTTATCTGGTGTACGCGGGGTGACGTCATGGCGGGGCTTTTTTTGGTTGCGAAATGAAACACTAAAGCCTCGTTGAAATGCGGACGATTTCATCTCGGTGGAATCCCGAGGGGGGGGGAGATGGTATATAGTTGCCCCACATCCTGAAACGTGAACTTGATATTCTTATATACTGGAGCTATTTGCCTACTAATCATCACTACTTCAGCTGATGTGAGGGTTCTACCAGCTGTGGCTAAACGGCCACAAAATGCCCTTTGATTATCATTCGAGAATGTCTAAGTTTAAAATCTCGAAAAGGTTTCGAAGCCGAGAGACTTCCTCAAAAAGGTTCGTTACGGAATTTATGATGCTATCACCGAGAGTTCAATTGTGTTGGTATTCGCTTCCACTGCGGCTTGTCTCTAGTGTCCAAGATTTTCTCCGCGTTTTGGTGACCGCGCCCGGTGTCTAGACCCTGGTTCTCGGGGCGATTGAGGCTGATGCGCAACGCCTGAGGGCCCATTCGAGGTCTAGAGCCTGAGGGCATCGCCTCGATCGCCACCATCAATATACTACAAAAGCCAGGACATACGCGAAGTTTACTCGAGTGCAACTACAAACGATGATCATTTGTTAATGAATCCCAGTCCTCAGTGGCGTCCATGGTGTTGGACCCACTGTTACCAAACCATTGGTACACCCATTCTACTAGCACTTGACCACATTCCCTTATGTATCATGATACGACGGTTGCGTTCCAGGTTTACGGGAAACAGTCTTTTTGACATCTCGTACAGGGGCTAGTTGATCGACGCTGGCACTAAACACTGTTTTTACCGTGTGCGACTAAACAGCGACCACGACTAAGGGGATTTTACCCTATGGCCACGCGCTAGTGGTAACGAAGCCTGCACGTGACGCTGCGCGGTGTATGGGGAGCGTGTAAGCCATCCAATAATTGTCGGGGCAATCCTGCAGACAGACAGATACTGCCCCCACGCCCAAGCAAAGAAACATGACCTCCCCCCCGGCAACGCGACCGCGGACTGGCGGGAGCATACCCTTAAACGAGCTGCCGGGGGCTTATTCAGCAGTGTCGGGGGCTTGTTAGGAGTATGCCAAGCCGGCTCGCCGTCAGCCTGTGTTGTTACCTCACCACCATCACACATTCCTCACGGTGGACACAGCCAAGGGGCTGTGGACCACTCATAGCCTGAGGTCACAACGTTCTCTTACTGCGCCCAGTGGGCTGCCCCCTGCCTCTACCTCTATGCGCTGTGCCAGCACCGCCCGCAGCACCACCTTCCCCCCCAAGCGGTATGACCTCATAAAATATCCATCCGATGGCGCTGCGGTGCCGAACATTACGAACGTGCATCGTAGATCTTCCCCATTGGCCGCAGTGGTTGGAAAAGCGGCCACCCGCGACATGGAGGCTGAGACAACTGCCAAAGTAATGACCTCGAGCTACAACCAGAGATATTGGCCCGATACGTGACCTGGCGCTGGCGAATCGCCTATTGCTGCGTAACTGGCTTGGTATTGGCGAATTCTGGGGTGATAACCAAATGCCGTAGCCGCTGGGATGGTCCGCTTTTCTTTTTTGGCACCACTAATTTTTGTATCTTGGCCCCGCATATTCCCTGTTTACTACGTAAATGATTGACGTTTACAAAGCGGCCCTCGTTGACAAACAACGCGGGATAGGTTTCCTAGGGCGGTAGTGTCGCCGACGTCGCTCCTGTGGTAGACAATAGCCTGCGGGAGATAATCGGAGACAGAGGCATAGGTGGCTGTCGTGTCCACACCCGGCAAGCCTTCCCGACACACGCAACCCTCGATTGGGCAACGATCACCGCCTGCTGTGAGGAAGAAAAAATATCTGCGGCATCGATGCCGCAATTAGACTTTTGCGAACACGTTGCGGACGGTTCGAGTGCGAGACATTTTCCCGATGGGTCGGGTGCACCTGCCCTCGCTGCAGCTGCCAACACTGCCCCAGCGTCATCGGTTTGCTTAGTCGCGGTTTAAGCCCTCGATTTGCGAGGGTGACGTCGGTTAACCACCAGTATCTGGGCAAGGCACCACCCTACTTTTACGAGCCCCAGAGAAGGAATAAAAAAGCAACGCCAAGAAGTTGGGGGGGTCCCAGTGCATGGAAGGTGGTGCGTTCGGGGTAATGTCCCCTCCAGCCGTGCTCAACTTACTCACGTTTGCATGCTACCCCCGCCGACGAGAATGCTGTGAGAATGTGTTACGTTGTCGCCCGGTGATCTTAACGGGGGGCATAAGTGGGGGTGCATTTACGAACAGGGCTTAACCCAAGACAGGTATCGCCTCGTCAAACTTACTGACCGTGGAAAATCCTGCCAAATTGGCCTCCTAGCTGGTGCATCGGAGTTATCACGCACTCTCTCTGATAATAATTCTCCCGTACACTACCTCTTCGGAATAAACCTGTCGTCCGCCTGTGATCGGCGCTGTGAGCGCATGTGACTCGGTGACGGTTTGTCTCTCCTTCCTCTTGCCTAGCGCCCCAATATCTTCGGATAATTCCGCAACTGGTAACCAACCTAAACACCCGTATTCTGCGAACAAAAAACTTCTCTCATGCGATCCCCGATCCTCGCTCGGTGCCAGGGCACACTCTGACGAATAAAAAAACGTTTGCGATGAGGTTATGCCTGATTCGTCGTTAGGGTGACGCTTAGCCACGATCGAGTGTTGCCCGACAGTTGTTTGGCGGTTGTCAGCGAATGTCGTGACCCCCGTGGCTGAGGGACAGAGCCATGCCACGGCGTTGCGGGTTTTGTGGTAACGCCGGCTACAGCGTTCGGCGCAGGTAATGGGTTCGCTCGCGCTGATCATTCGGGCCTCAGCCTTCTGTAGGCTCAGACACTCGCAGACATAGTGGTACGCCTGGCGGTGCCGTGCGCCCCCCCGATTGGGCGGAGAGAAGACGCAAACAACGCGCAATGACGATATAGCGTATGCAACCGAACCTCGTCAGCCCCCACGTTACAATAGGCCGTTGCTTCTGTTGCATGCAGAGAATCTGCAGGAAAGCTTTGCCGACTTCGTCCAGCAGAGGTTGCGGGGTATTTTGCCCCGAAACCCACCGCGGCTCCCTCTCCACAGGGCTGCAGTGGGACCATGTTCTCCACCAGGGGGTATACGTTCACCTGGAATTGTTCCTGGAATGTCTCATATCGGCGTCATCATCGATAATGAGCTTTGTGGTCCGGCCACGAGGCCTACCTCTGGGTATGTGGCTGAGATCATGGACCGTGGTCAAATCCTTCACTTGCATGGCTGATTCTGCGTAGCGGCTAAAACTTTTTGTGAGTGTGAGAGTCACCGATGAGGGCTGTGTGGACATAGACGACGACACGGCAAATGATGATCCGGCTATGGCTGCTGCTCCATGATGTCAATTGATCACTGAGCCACAAAACGGTAATGCCGCTCGTGCCAATTGGCCAATGGCGACCGCTGGCTTAGCTGATTTGGCCGTCGTCACGCCGACCCCTTGGACAGGCTTCTTTTGTCTCTGATTTGTCGCGCAAGGTTTCGTACTCGCTGGTTACGCAGCACTCGCACGTACACCCATAGGATACAAGCATCTGGGCACGACACGACCCCCCGCTTTCGGCTATAGCCGGTAGGGGTAAGGCTTTTCCTCTCAGCAGAAAGACGATGACACCCACCTCGTCCACCGTCACCGCCCCCGTGAAGGTGTACCCGATCGCCTGCTACGTGTGATAACTTTACTTGCCTGCAGTACTACTCTATCCACGATGATTTGCCGAAACAACCTCGTTAGTGACCGTTGATAGCGCCACTTAATCTCTGGCATCGTTGCCAACGGATAAATCTTCCTTTCGTCATCGCGACCGCACCTGGGGTGGGGGGAAGGGAAGCCTGCACCCACGCAGTGCTTTCCGTCACGCGCCCTGGCTATCTCCGCATATGTGCTTCCCAAACCAGATTATCCAGCGTTATTTTGTTGTCGTCGACAGGTAAGCCACCGAAACCGTGCGGGTAAAAAATATCGTAACGCGCCCACCTCAAATAATATATTACCATCGGGGACGGCGGTATTTAATCAAACCGTCGACGCCCCATCGTCGTTTTTGACTCGAGCAAGGCATGTTCCTGATAACTCACCCGGTCATAGACATGTTTGATGATATCCCACCCTTAGATGACCCTACCCACCACCCCGAGCCCTATCCCCAGAACCCGACCCAGGTGACCCCTCAGCTGGCCCCCGCCGCCAACCATGGCTACTTCCCGTATATGATGCCTCCCCAGGAGCCCGAGCCCGTGTTTGACCCCCCGCTGCTGCTGTACCCGCTGTATCTGGTCCCCGGCGCCGGGGCGACGCTGTTTGTCGCCGGCGGCGCCAGCGTCGACGACTTGCGGGGGGCGCTGGTGCCGGCGCTGGCGCTGGCGCCGCTGCTCGTACAGGCGCCCCCGGCGCCCCAGCTGGTGCCTCTGGGACCCATACCCCCCAGACCACCCCTTAATGAAGACAGCTACCTGCTGTACTCGCTGATCCCCACTTACCCCCACGAGGACGGCGCGGCGCTGGCGCCGCCCGTGGCTGCCCCGGCGGCGGTCGACCCTTACTACATGCCCGAGTACCAGCTGTTTCTGGCGCCCCAGGTGCCTCAGGCCTACTACGGCGGCGCCTACCCTCCGTCAGAGTGGAGCCAACCACCGCTACTGCATCTGATGCCGCCGGCGCCACCGGCGCCACCCCACTCGCTAATGGCGCCGCTGGGGTTCGTGCTGCCGCTGATGCTGTCCCAGTTCTATAGTGGTGACCAGACGACGCCGCTCCCGACCCCAAACAAGCAAGAAGCCGTCGACTCCTACGACCACTTCACGTTCGACCCCGTCATGGGGCCTGTGGCCACCATCAACCCCCACCACCACCAGCCGCCGATGGCGCCTCAAGCGCCGCAACAGGTGCCCCCACAGGCGCCACCCCAAGCGCCCGCAGCGGTGCCGCCACAAGCAGCGCCCAGCCGCACCACAGCGCTGGCCATCGTCCACACTCCCGGCGGCCCCCGTCGCTACCGAGTCATCAGAGGCATGCTGGCCGGCGGCTCGCTGACCCGACCACCGAAAGTGGCGCCGGGCCACCCCGACATGCTGTATGTGCTTGTCGACTTGCAAATCAACGGCGCCCTGCCCCAAGAGTTGTGCTACCCGCAGTGGCTGGAAGAAGAGAAGCTTGACCACCGCCGCATCATCAGAATCGAGCGCATCCAACAAGGAAACAAGCTCATCGCCAACTTCTCCATCGTCGGCGCCGCCAACGACCACCCAGTGACGCTCGCGCTGCCTGAGCCAGGAGTAGACGTCGTCGAAGTGCTGTGTCTCGAGTGCAGCGTGCGCTCGTCGGACGACCCCGAGCTGAGTGACGACGAAGACCCCCACATCAAAATCGAGGGCGACCGCGCCTACCAGTACTACATCACCCTGGTGGAAGTGATTGAGATCGTCGAGCTCTTGATCGGCACCCAGGCCAAGGACAGCGCCGAGCGCCGCCGCGAGCGCGGGCGGGTGCGCCTGAACTTGGTCCCCTTCTGGCTGAAGCGGCCCATCAGCCTGAGGATGAACGAGCCGCTGGCGCTGGCCCACCAAGGCAACCATACCAATCTCGACTTCCGCGTCGAACTCGCCAAGCGCATCATGGGCTACGAGATCCGTAAGCCCCGCGGGTTCGATAAAGAAGTGAGAATCTTGCGGTGGGACAAGTTGGTGCCGGCTTTGAAGCGGGCGTTGCAGAGCTACTACACCGAGATTCCTCCCCACGAGGCCGACCAGCTATACGGCTAAAGGCGCCTCGACAGTCTAATCATAATAAAATCTGTGGGGACCATATTTTAATAATAACGAGTAATGAGCCAACGTGTAGCCAAGCAGTTCCTAGATATCTCCTATTATTAACGTCTTTCACCACTGCTGGCATCGCCTCTCGTGATAGTCGGAGGAAACTGGCTTTGAAGCCATTACCTCAAAAAAGCTCTAACCAAGCACTCTGTGGTAAAAATTGCTATTGTCTCACTTGGGGATCTCAGCGAATGATCTGTGGGTGGGGAAACCACCGCTACGTGGCGTCTCCGCTGCTGTAGACGCTGGTAAAAATTGCCGAAATGCCTGGCACCTGAAACTCAAATCGCTCACCAAACACCCGCTTCCCGTTACTTCCCTAAAGACCAAATTCCCAAATCATCCTCTAGTAAGATCAACCCCTGTGGGCCTGTCTGACAGGAGATCGACAATACGTTGGCCACAAACTCTTAGGCGAATCTTAATCCCTAATTCGATTGAGGGGTGTTTCGTCTGCGATGCAGCGAACGATATTTATTCTGAAAAAGAAATCTTTGGGGGTTGATCGTTAGGCAAATTTTTTTAAGGGCCCCGCACCGTCGCCGCTGGCCTGTCACCGTCAACGAGTGACAAGGCATGGCTGGTGTCACCTATTGTTGGTGTAATCTCTTTCTTCGAACAATAAGGCAGGCGCCGAGACGCGGGGCAAGTGTAGCCGACACGTGTGCGTGGCCACCGAACAATGGCCTATTGGCGCTGCCTCAACTTCGTACCCCCCCGCGAGCAAGGGTATGAGGACAATAACGCGTATCTTCACCTACGGCACTCGTCGTCACATGCTTGGGGGAGAATCGACGATCTCTACATGAGTGGCCCCTCCGTTTACCCTGCCGCAAGCCGCCTTAACCCTAGTTGAGGCGGGCGCGCGAGTTTATTCTTCGTCCCCTCAACAGAAGGGCCCAAGTACGATTTTCTCCGTAGACCCGGCAAAAACCACGATCTTTAGGAGTAGCAACAATGATAGCGGGGAACTGGAGCCGGCACCCGCCACTAGGCTTTTTTTCGCCGATAAACGTCAACAGATCATGTCCCCCTGGACCCAGGGGAACCTGAAACGATCAAATTTCAACTGGCATAGGGGCACAGACCAGCGATAAAAACTCTGCTCTTCTCCGATAAAAAACTTTGACACCCATTTGGTTTTATTGTCGATGGTCTCTTTTCCCAGTTAGGTCGTCGTTACAGCGGTTTTTGACCGTTCCAGTGCCCTTCATCGTTGATTTTACCATCGGTCTCGCTAACATGATCCTATCAAATCAAAGCTGTGGCCAATACGAACAGATAGTTGATCCAGTTGCCCGACACTCAAACCAAGCACTCACTGGTGGTTTTCCTTGAGTTTTCGGATGGATTATGGTATTCGATTCCTCATGATTTCGTTTGTGGGATATCGTGGAACGGGAACCATCAATCCTCTGTTAACAAGCTCAGGAAGGTTAACCACAAGATCCACGATCCATCGCTAGCATTGTCTCATCGAGGGTATCGAACGAGGCTTATTGGGTATTGAGCTCGAAGTTTCTTTTCTAAGACCCACGCAAATATAATGGATTCGACATCAATTGTTGGAAGCGATCATTATCGTCGTTGATTCAACTTTTACCACTGAGGGAGATCATATTCTGGCGGGGTGATGGTGTTGATCGTGACGTGTTTTTCTCTCGTTGAAAGGAGAGGTCCGACGCTTGAAAGTGAATGAATTCGTTCGATAACTCTTAAATCTGAAATGAGCCAATTCGGCAGAAAAAGTACTCACGGTCTCAGCTGAGTAAGGCGTTACCATCGACGTTGATGCATGGGGTATACGAGTATTCTCCTCTCAGCGGCGTATGAGCGTTCAGAATTAGTCCACACTCGGATATTCCAAAGATGTTATCGTTAAGGTGGAAATATTTTCATGGTCTGGCTTCACTTCCGTGGGCTCAATGAGTAACACTGGAGTTCTACTGGCTTACATGATGTACGCGCCATTGGCACTTTCAGGTTATAACGATGGACACCTACTTCGATGAACGATATATTGAGCATCACCTCCAGCCGAACAAGTTGAAATCATGGTCAAGACAGGTGTCGAGGTTAAACGTTATGGGGGACAATTTCGCTGGTCTACTTTCGAGATTTTCGGTCGACTTACGCACAATGTTCAAATGGATCTTCGATCATGCGAGCGAAGTTTAGGTGGCCGATCATCGAAAATAAGACCACTTTAGCATCGCAAAAACTAGTAATCGACCACCAAACTGAAACAATTATCTAGGGGCTTGTTGAGGTATTTATCCATCCAATCTTGACCTCCATTTTCTTGTACCATCGACACGAATATTATTTACCAATCGTTTGAAGAGTATGCGCCAAGTACGATCCTCGAAAGTAAGACCACCTCACGAGAAAGATGCGGGGCTACTCGAAAACGATATTGTGCTTTACTCGAACATACGAACTCCCCTCAGGTTGAGTGATGTAGTCAAAATAACGGCTATATGGTACAGCTATGCCAAGAACGGAATGTGCCCTTGAAGAGACAAGTGTGTTCTTGCTTAGAATATGGTTATGTGGTTCATGATATTTTGTTTGACTATCGGTCTGGAATTTTCGCTAATGGCGTTGAGGATTGTATTCATCATCTACTCCGTATATTACAGGGGTAAGCCGAGCTTCATTGTTTTGAGGTCGAGAAATTAGTATCTGCTACGTCGACACAGGTAACTTTCCAACTAAACAAATGGTGGATGGGAGACTTCTCCTCGTCAGGATGAGTCCAATTGTCATGAGTTATTCATCCTATAAAATTTTGAACGACATTGGAGGCTTATGATGTGGAGATTATGAGTAAACCCCAACCCATTAATGTGGTGTGTATGTTTTATGTTTCACTCAATCTCGAGTTATCGGACTTCAAAAGTGATCAGAAAGACATCTTTACGAACAATAATTTCAGTTATTTTCTGGATCTTATTTGCACCGCTCCATAACTGCCCAGCCGAGACAAATATTTCGGTATTGGGCTTGCTATTTCCAGTCGTTCGTATCATCACTTGTATCTTCACAACTCGTCGATTTTTGATCCTTCTGTCATTACCCCCATATTGCGGGCGAAGCACAGCTGCCTACGCTTGTAACTAAACTTTAAATTTGCGTTTGCGCAATAAGCGAGCATAAAGTTTGAGTAACAAAACGCAAGTTTGTGAATTGCTTTTTCCTCAAATCTGTGTTGCATTTAAAATGCCTAGGTAATGAGCGCTGTCTGTGGGGGCACCCGGCCTGTCTTCTGCAGGAGCCGCACCAGATTTTGTTAATGCAAGTGATGGTTGCTAACAATCTGATAGACCTAAAAGGGTGAAAAAGAAACTCCCTATTTTGAGGTGGTAAAAAAATATGATCTTTTCTGTGGGTTCAAACGAGAAGACTTATACCGTCTTAGGAATGTTGGAGATTGAATCAACGCAACGGTTGTCAACTATCTACCACTGAGCGGAATGTCATCCTCCGGGGTCTAGAGCGCGTCGTATCATTCACGCTGAGGCTGCCACCACTGGTCGAATACTGTTCTTTTTCTCTAATCAGAGCTGAAGTCAACATTGTATTCCGATGAGATGACTGACACTTGCTGTTGGTAATATTCCTTGTCAAAAATTGCCATAACGATATTGATACCCCAAATGATGCTACCTTTTTTTCTACCTAATGCCGAAACGTCTTCGAATGAGCATATATAAGCCCCTAGATGTCTTTTGGAGGTTAAATTATGATTGTGCACGAAGACTCGATCGTGAAAATTTTTCATGTTGACATCAAATCGAGCCATTGACGTAGTCCAGACTGAAAAACTGACTCGATTTTTGGCCCTGAGTGAACCTTAGTCGTATTTCATGAGTTTTGCCGATCCAAAACCTCGCGAAACCGCGTGGCACCCAAAAATTCAATTGCATTCCACAGTAGACGTGTTTGTAGTCAGTTTGTGGAATATTTGGATGATGTGGCTCTGCTGGCCAAACGGTTAAGGCATCCGCCTCCTACTATGAGTAAAGTGGAAGACTCCGGGTTCGAGTCCCGGGTAGAGCTTTTCCTTTTTCTACTTCAATCATCCTGTAAATGGCAATTTGATCTGATTATCAGGTTTGTTTGACGTTTGGAAGTTGACGAGTGATTAGCTCAAGTTGGTAAACGTTAATGCTCGCCCATACCTGTAAGAAATTTGAATTTTTATTCCATACGCTTGTAAGCTTCGGATCAATTTAACGCAACAGACGAAGACGAAAGCATTGACTACGTTCATATAGAGAAACTACCAAATAGACCGTGTTAACAGCATGGCGGAATGGTGGCCGAAAAGCGGGGACGCGAGCTAAATCAACTCCTTATTCGCTTATATGCACGCATGCGGCACATTTTGATCGGTCCACTCTCATACCGTGGGCAACAAGAATGACATTCGGTCGGTCGATGGGCTTGTCGTATTGGCTTCTGTACGTTGCCCTAGGTGCCCTTGCCTTCACCTACTTCATCGACCCACGGGCAGTATCAAACTTTCGGATTGCCCTCTTGCTGAAGCCCTACTGCGCCACACATCCTCAGGATTGCCAGAATCTCCTTGGTGGATCGAATTATGGACTCGAAACACGGGCGTTTGACAATTACGACATGATATACCTCAGACCTTGGATTCTTTCCCGGTTGGACAAGGCAATTATCGGCGGAATATACTGGGTTTTGATGCGTTTCGGTCATTCGAATATCGATATCACGTACACGTTGGAAACACTTCAAATTGGGCTCGCAGCGTTTTACGTGACGGTGGTCATGATTACAAGGTTCATTCTAACATCAAGAATATGGCTTTTATGCTTTATGGGTATCGCAGCCAGTGTAATTGACTCGTGGCTGGTGGTAGTGAAGCCCGTACAAATAGCCGCCCAAATGTTGAAGTGTATCAATTGAAACATGCAAGCCTTGCCGGTTCAAGGCGACATGGTGAATGGAATGGAAGAAAATTTGGTTTGTAAACAATACGCTAAGCTGTACAAGACAAGAATATTTGAGCCGGCGTCTCCTCGAAATATTCCACCGATACGACTTAATTCATTTGCCATGCGTTATAAGCATTTCTGCGTCACAGAGGGAGTTGACCGACGCACCGCAACTTGAATTTAGCAGACACTATCGCAGTAGCTATAGCACATTTGAACTATGAATTATGTATTAAACAAAGACGCCATTCTCTCGACCAGAAACATGTTAGGCCTAATAATAAATGACATCTTCTATAGTTGCTTCTTTTGCAGAGAACATGAGGGACGATATTTTTAAATCCACTGTCTGCGATGACAATGATGTGTGCTTGCCCGGTTGTTGCATCCAGCCATATGCAGTCTTACCGTATCCGCTTTAGTGCCGAGGTCGGTCCGACTAATGTTACATTGAGACATTTTGTGTGCGCAAACCACCACAGCCTGCAATCTTTCAAATTGATTTTGTGAGACTTTGTGTTGATGGAGTTTTTCCAAATATCGTTGAGGGAAAAAGAAAAGAAGTAGACAGGTATTATGTGATAAGTTAAACCGCTATTGTGTAATGGACGTTCTTATCATGCCATCGAAACGAACACAGGGCCTATTAATAGCCCGGTATTGGCATGTACTGTTGGCCACCAACATAATAGTTGCCCAGAAAACCTGTTGTCGTTTACCTACTTGGACACGTAGAGCTAATCAAATCAAATCTTGGCAGATACTCTTTGAAGCTGTGTTATGGATGGCTTGGCTTTGAGGTCAATTCAAACAAAGAGGTCTCAAGCCCTCGGGCCCGCACATTCTCATACTGGATCTGGACCTGACTCAGCCACCAATCATTCAATTCCGTTACAAAACACGCGAGAGTACAGAAGGAGAGCAAAAAAATTGATGCAGATTCCACAAAACGTACGAATGTACTGAAGAAACTCGTCAAAAGTTGCACAATAGCATCCATTCGTCATTTCTGAGTGAAGTTATGATAACCCCATACTCAACTGTACGTTTGTTGCACATAACGTTAACTTACACTCGGGGAACTAAAAAAAGTTAGTTTCAATCCACACCTACATGAGTACCCTCTTTTTAATTGAAAAATTTTCATCCAAGGTACAGTGGTCGAGAGGTTAAGACGCTGGATGCAGGTTCCAGTTCCATTTGGAGCGCAGGTTCGAACCCTGTCTGTGCCGAAGACTTTACTTTTTTGCACTTGGAAGTTTTTCTAAGAAAATATGCTGGCCTCCTCCCGTGGCTGCAAGCGATAGATTGGTTGTATTTTTGGTTTTCGCCTACCGGATTGGTAGGTAGACTGAGGCGACGGACAAGTACATTTTCGTATGTTCATTACACCTATATTCTTCGTTCAAGAGTCTCATTAATGCCTAGACAGTGGTGAACAAAGTCCAAACACCCTTCAAGTAGCCAACAATTTCGTCACCGCCCAATTTCAGTTCACCGTACAATCTGTCGACGAAAGCAATGGGAACTTCACCAATAGTGAAGCCCATGGATCTAGCACGCACCATCATTTCCATTTGGAACACGTACCCCTTGGACACGGTGGCGGCAATGATTTTTTGGAGAACCTCCTTCTTGTATAAACGGTACGAACCGGTCAAGTCCAGCACGTGAGGACGCAACACCGTTGAGGCCAAGAAGTTGGCCCCGTTCGACACCAACTTCCGCTTGAAGTCCCAGCCGTAAACACCACCATCACCAGCGTATCTGGTACCGGTGACGATATCGTAGTTGCCTTCCTTTTGCTTGGCAATGAATTGGGGGATGGCCTCGGGGTGGTGCGAGAAGTCGGCGTCCATGATGATGACAAAGTTCCCGGTGACGTATTGCAAACCGTGCACGTAGGCGGTACCCAAGCCCAACTTACCGGCACGAGGGCGCAACTGGATGTGTTCCTTGCCAAACACGTCGATAAGCTGCTTGGCGATTTCCTGGGTGCCGTCAGGGGAGGCGTCGTCAACGATCACCACTTCCCAGTCGAGCTTGTGCTGGTCCATCGTCTTGGCAAGCAAGTACACGAGGATGGGCAAGTTCTTTCTCTCGTTGTAGGTGGGGAGGATAACAGAGTACTTGTCGGGCATGGTGACACGTAGGAATGAACGCGAATTTCGTCACTATGAGCGCGCCGCGTTTGGTGCGAAAACAAAAAATGAGCCAACCCTAGTGAGCAGTGACAATTGTATCATACGAGGAGCCTAGCTCCTTGCGAAGAAGATACTCCTTGTTGCCGACACCGTAACGAAACCCAGTGAGGTGTTTTTGCGACCCTAACACCCGGTGGCACGGAACTACAATGACAATTCGGTTGGCACCCACCGCGCTGCCCAATGCTCGCGGATGAGTGTTTAGTTTCTTTGCGAGTGCGGCGTAGGTAGTCGTGGTGCCAGCTTCGATTTGGCGAAGTTCATCCCACACCTGGCGTTGGAAGGGGGTGCCAAGAATGTATTTCACCTTGACAGTGGCCAGCAGAGCAGGGTTGGCTAAGACATGCTCGAACTGGCTAATTGTTTCGGCAATGGCTGGGTTATCTGGTGGCAAGTGAGACGTGAGTTGATACTGGGGAACCACGGAAAGATCGCGCGCCATGATGGTCTTAACGTCGCTAGCCGAAGTACCCATGTTGGCATAGCATAGGTTACCTTCGCTGTCGACACATACTGCCGCGAACGCGTCGGGAGTACTGGTAATCGCGTAGTATAACACTGGCATGGGACGCGTCTTGTGGTCTTGGTAGAGTTTCGCACCCGCAGCCGCACTCGCACTAGATGATTATTAGCAGAACGTGGCACAAGGTGCGTGCCAGTTGGCTTAGCGATTTGTATCACCAGCACCTCCATATGGGGCAAGAAAAAAGCCCCCATCATAATTTCCACAAAACGAGCAATAAGCCTCGACCCAAGCCTCTACTATGTCTACGGGGCGAGCCAGTACTCGCGTACTTGTGGTGTAGAACAAGCCCCCAGCGATAAGGCTCCCTTTTGCAGGTAAGTTGTATCGGTGATGTGTCGGAAATATTTATTGGCGTTTTCTCTCATTTTCGCCAAAGAAATAACTAGAACGTAAATCCCCTTCTGGTACGCCGCACGCCTGTCATCCATGAGGAGGGGTCATAATATTAAATTCTAACGTCCGCCACGGGTCTAGATCGCTGGTGCATAGTACAGGTGGACGGAGAAAGAGGGGATGAGGCAGTGAGGTTGAAGGTATACAAAAACTTTAAACCACATGACAACCAGATCGATGGACCGTCGGGGATTTGCGGTAAAAACTTTATTTGGTGATTATTATTTAATCCTCGATCTTAAGTTTATTATTGGTGAGGGGGAGACATACATCGCCTACATCCCATTAAAATCTTGGCGAGGCTTTGTTAAATAACTAAGGGAGTGCCCGATCACGGATCTCAAGTAAGCGGCGTTCGATTTCCCCGACCAGTCGTTTAAGCCTTGTTGCGATCGTTTGTTTAACGTCATCTGCCTGTTGGTGGAATTGCTCCAATAAGTCTCCATCGATGACGTTATACGAAGGGCCATAATAGCCACGACTTTTGATGGCGTCTTTACCAAGCAAGTTTTGTGAGTTGAACTCAGTATACAATGCTGCCATCTCCGTCAGTAATGATTGGAAAAATTTAAGCTCCAGCAGGGTGAGGAGAGGCAACATCACTCCAATGGTGCCAAGGATGCCGAAATAAATCAACAGTTCCTGACCACCGCCGTATATTAACAGTCCTCGGCACAATTTGACGATGGCATCACCAACGTAATATTGAGCCACGGGCTTCAACCGGACGGGAGCGCCTTGAAGGTATTCGGGATGGCTTTTGATCCATAACGGCCACAGCAGATCCACTGCCTTGCTGGTCACGTCGTCAAGCTCGTTTATCCACACATTGCCGAACCGGTCGCCACCAGCAACGGTGGTGTGGTCGAGCACAATCGCGGTAGTGACGTGACGGTCACTGGTATCGTCAGCCACCGCCACAAATTGCTGGGTAGAGGTATCAAAGTTGAATATGCGAACTGATCGACGAATGTCGCCCAAGGCAAGTCGATCACCTTCCATATTTTGAAGGGAAACAATGGTAGTTTGGGGTATTATTGTCGCCCCCTTGAATAAGAGCTGCTTAAGCCCAACATCATAGTAGCGTATCTCTTGTCCATGACCTAAAAGAAGTCTTCCTTGAAACCCGAGAAGCGTCTGAAAGCCCGGGAGTTTCGTGTCGGTAGTGTGTAAGTATTCATATTGAGAGTCTTCCCCGACAAGGATCAGAACCACTTGACCGGGGAGGGCGATGAAAAGATACTGCTTACCCTTGAGTTTGGCCCTTACCATCAGTGTTGCTTGCGAGCAGTCAGGAGTCTCAGGTATAGTCTCCACATTAGACTCAGTTACTACCTGTACTCCGTTTGAAGTAGCCACGTAGAACGAGTCACCGTCTTCGAGTACTCGTTTACCATTGCCCTCAACGTCGACCGTTTCAGGGACTAATGGCCCTAGGGTGACTAACCCCGTCTCTTCCTCCTCACCCACATTGAAGATGACAAGCTCACCGCGACGATTAATCCCCACCACGGCTTCGCCGCCTATTTCTTCCAGGATAAAACCTGCGCCACAGACGAGATCGAGGTTTAAGAGCGGCGAGAGATCGCCTTTGCCAGTTAAAAGCCAGGTCGCCGACAGAATCACGAGCGAACCTAATGTTCCCGTAGAGTAAAGTGATACGGGGGAAGTACCTATAAACTTCTTTCTCGTACCAGTGATATCACCCGTAATTGGGTCAATTTGGTTTAGGACAAACACCCCCAGCTCCATACCAATACTCAAATGGGACCCGCGAAGATTAAGTGACAGAGGCGTAGCCAGAAGCGCTTGGATCAGAAGTACTTCGAGGCACAGATTCTCTTGAAGCAGCACCACTTGGATTTCATTATCCTTGGTACCAACGACGACGTAATTAGCTCTTCTGGTCAAGTCCATGGCAAGTGAGGTGACACCGGTGTCAACTTCAAGTCGCTCGCCGTACTCGGCTAATTGATCGTCAGTAGCATCTATTTCAAAGTAGACAAGAGCACCATCCAGAAGGGCCACCACTACTTGAAAATTATTAGCAGCAGCGGCCACAACAGAAATCCCAGCAGGAGGATGCCACATGGTTTGTTTGCCATCAAGCTTAATGTGATTAATACCGTCACGGTAAACCTGGATCAACGACGAAACCCCCACTTGAGCCACCAATACGGTGGGCTGAGTCTCAATGAAATGACTATCTTTGACATTTTCAACCACTTCGCCAATCAGGAGTACAAGCGTCTTCAGCTCGGTACTCAGAGTGATTACAAGGTACTCGTCCAGATCACTTTTACGCGTTTTCTTGGTGGTAAACACTGATGTGGGAACAAATGGAAGTGGCAGTGATACAAGGATCAGTGTTGGGGTGCCTTTCCGTACTTTATTAGTCAGTTGAGGCAGCTTCAAAATCATAGTCTGATTGTATAGCGCCGCATCCATCACGGGTGAGCCCTTATATATCTTCAGACTCACCTCAAGATGTTTAAGTTCTTGTCGAGGGGTCCATGAATCCATCGATTCGTCCCCCATCAGCTCAATTAAGTACATGACGACGTCGCCGACCACGGGATTGGCAATAAGGTAGCCCGCACGCAAAATGCCAATCAGAAGACACGGCTCGATGGTTTCGTAGTACACAACGTTAACCTGCTCAACAAACTCACGTTCGGAGTCGATGGTGGTCAATACTCGCCACAAGTGACCAGTAGTGTCTTGTAATAATAAGAACTGCTGTTTCTTCTTTGTCTGAGTTGCGTGGCACACAATGGGTAGGTTCAGGGGTATTGAGGCTATTATCGGCGCCAGTTTGGCCAGAGGACCTGAATAGTATGCAATTTTACCTGGTTGAGCCACGTAGACCCCACCAAAGGGAGCCTGAACCAAATGGTATGATTCGTTATTCTCGTCTAAGGCTGTTGGTTGTCCTAGTAGACGAATGATATTGAGCCCTTGGTCAAACGTATACCATTTAAGGTAGTCTTTGCCATCGGGATCGGCCTCCACGGTGACAAACATCGGGTTCTCAAAACGAGTATCAATTGCCGCCATAGTAAGAATTACCAGAGAGACATCGACTTTCAACTGGACGGGAGCCTCGACGGTAACTCCTCGCAGCGCCAGGTAGGCCACGGGGTATATTATCCGGTTACTCTGAAGACCGGCAAGCATCACGCACCGGTCGTCTGGGTCCACCACCATGAATTCGCCAGCGTTGGTGCGGTTAAAGCCATTTTTCTCGAATGGTTGACGTAGCCGTTGTACCCAACCAGACGTTTGTAGCTCTAAAATCACCAATTGGCCCAGGTCCAGAGTCACCACTAGGAAATCAACCAGCAGCCCTGCGGGGCGAATTTTAGCAATGTGCCATATCCTTCCGAGTAACGGCAGGTAGTTAAGCCGCTGAGGAGTATCATTCTCTCCAGCGAGCCCCACCACCAATAATGACGAACCTCTGGAAACCACGATCTGTTGCGACAGCGTGCCGTCATCAAGGAAATGACCGACGACGACCTCGTGCCATTGCTGAGTGGGTTCCACTGTCAAATGGTATAGATGCATTATAAAGAAAAACCCACAACTCGGCCGGAGTCAGCGACGCACCGTCCGGGGTTCAGTTTCTTAGATGCGGTTTGAGATGGCTCGACCGTTTCGACGCCGCACCGTCGTGTGACTGTATGCAGGTAATCAGTGATGACGGGTCGATGCCTTCATAGTAAGGATACGCCAGAAAGAGCCTTTACTAAGTGGAACAATGCTTTGTTTTTGCCACTTCTACCATTGACATTTTTCGGCTAGACAATAGCTTGCGGAAGGGGTAGTGAAACGCGCTTTAGCGGAGGGGGCGGGTGTCAGGCACAATGGAATTTTGGTCCCCAGAGTATTTACCAAAATACACCATAGAGTAGGCCACGGGCGATAACCGTGCAGAGCGTGCCACCGTTAGCCACAAGGCGGCTCTCAGGGTCCGGTGTCGATTGCTGTCACCCTCTTGGTTTCGGCGTGCCTACTGTAGCCCAGGGCTATCCGGAGGTCTTGTGACTCTTCGTTTTGGGATTGTTTAGTAAACGGACCGCTCCCCAATTCCGTCCGATTGCTGGATTTGACCAATAAAGCCGACGAACGACAACATGCCATGCGGTGCGAATTTCACTTCGGCTTTGGCAATTACTTGGAAGATGACAAACAGGGAGAGATGACTAAACCCTTTGGCCAGGAATCTTACACAAACACGCTTTGCGATAAATAGTGGTCTTAGGGGCCCGGGCTGCGTGTGCTGGCTCGTACCGGGGGTTTCGGCTCGAGCAACGCTTGCTTTTTTATTTATATACCGCTTTACATTTCCGCGAGTGTTTATATCAGCTCCCATCTCGGGAGTGTAAACAAGGCGTATTGTTTGACGCACGCCATCTGCGACTTGACAGGGTGGGTGAGGTGGGGTGTGGTGATGGGGCATAAGCAATATTATCCACGACGAAACACAATGTGGGCAGTTAGTGCCGACACAATGGCTCTGCTAGAGCAAATAACGGTCTGCCGGTCGTCGCCAGGCGTGACCTTTAGTGGTGGTGGCCGGTCGGCAGGGTTCGCTTCTCGCGTCGCGCTTTGTTTTTTTGTGGACAGGGCGACTCAGCTGATGGCTAATGCCCAATCGGGGTGGACCCTTATGATGCACAAATAGTTCGGTACATATTTTGGCCCCTGCCAGCAACGACGGGGCTGAAGTGGCCGCCTCAGGCACTCGGAGGAGCCCCCAGCAACCAACTTTTGACATAATTAACTCACTGCCAATATCTTGAATCTAGTGTTATTTTTGAGGCGAGTGTCGGTGGATTGCTGTCAGCTTTGTAGTCGATCACCAGTAGCTGATTCTATTGAAGTAGTCGGACGCCACGACGGCTGATCCCATTATGCTACTATTCTCGGCGAGCCCGGGCTCGGGATCCGAGTAAACCCAAGAATTTCATAACCCGTGGATAACTGGTAACTCAAAAACAACCTGTGTGGTAAATGGTACGTGGCGCTGGTACAGATACGTCAGCCAAGACCCGTATATATTTTCGCTCAGCCATGGCCGGTGGGGCGTGACGTCACCGTGCCCCATGGTGGACACCGGACTCCGAAGGGAATAGGGTTTCCCCATAGTCTCGGGTACGACGGCGTTGCTGTCATTTTCTACTTCCCCTTCCAGCTACTCCCGGGTCCTAATCGGTACACTCTGATAAGCTCTGGGCTCTAGTCGTCTAATCGTGACGGACGACTCGAGGCTTATCAGATCTCCATATACTTACCCCTTCTACATCGCTACAATTGGCCTCGACCTTTGTTTGACGCGTATAGCATCAAACTCCTTCGCCTAGTCGTTTTGCAACCGTTTTTCCCCTCTCACATTCCCGACTCATACTTCACACCTTGGCCACTTTCGCCGATACGCGCTTACTACCCGATCCACCACCCTAGGCCGGTGCGCCTTCGACCCGCTTGCAGCCTCAGCCACCACCCCTGCAACCCGCTAGCGACGCCGATTGACTTTCTCCCGTTGCCCCCCGCTGTCGCTTTGCCGCCATGGACGTCACCACCCTCGCGGTGCTGAGCGATGGGCGCCGCAAAGTGATCAACGGCCACTACCGGGTCCTCCGCAAGATCGGCGAGGGCCAGTACGGCAAAGTGCTTTTGGCCGAGGTGGTGAAACCTCTTGGTGACCTCACTAAGGGCTTTGTTGCCATCAAAACCATCAACCGCGTCGATAAGCTGAAACTCCTCACCAAGGCCTACTTGCTGCAACTGACGAAGATCCAGCGGGAAATCGCCATCATGAAGAAGCTGAGCCACCCCAATGTGGTGAAGTTGTATCAGGTGATCGACGATTTACGCTTTGATAAGATTCTCCTCGTGTTAGAGTATTGCCAGTTAGGTGAACTCGACTGGAAGCGGTATAATCATTATCACGAGAAGTATAAGCTGCTCCTGTCTCAAACGGAAAAACTACCGCGTATCACCCTTGAAAAAGTACTTCGGGATGTGGTATTGGGCCTTCATTATCTCCATGATTGCAAACACATTGTCCACCGTGATGTCAAGCCGCTGAATCTCCTTGTCGATGCTACCCACACCGTCAAAATATCCGACTTTGGAGTGCTGTTAATCCTTGAGAATAACGCTAACGACGCCAAGGAGCTTGCTCGGACCATGGGCACGCCGGCGTTCTTTGCCCCCGAGCTATGTCAGTTTGTCCACAAGCGCATGAGTGCTTTGACAGGCCAACCCGCTGCCGATCTTCTTGCTCTGCCGCAAGGAGCTCAGCTGATCGGGCTGGTGATCGATAAACGCATCGACTTGTGGCTGCTTGGCGTCAGTCTCTATACACTCATCTTCCACGAGGTGCCGTTTCTGGGACGCAATGAGTTTGAGTTATTTAAACACATTGTCCGCCAGCCGTTAGTGTTTCCCTCAGTGGTGAAACTGAAACGAGCTCAGCCTCAAGACGTCGAGGAGCTTGACGCTTTACAGGACCTCATCACTCAGCTTTTACAAAAAGACCCGCTCAAACGACCTACGATCACCCAAATTGCCAACCATAAATTCACTACCTTTGACCTTACCGCTTCCGAGCGCAAAAAGTGGATCGCGCTGATTCCTGACTACGGCGACGATAATACTCTTTCTACACGCATCCGCCGGTTATTCAAACCGGTACCGCCTCGGGAAACTCCCATATCACCGCTCAAACCTAGTGAGCCTGACACCTCGTCGCCGAGACGTCCTGTCGGCAAATTGGAGGCAGTGGACGACTTGCTCGACCTGTACTTTGACGATCTGGCCCTGGATCTGAGCTACGGTGCCGACGCCGAGGCCGTCGACACTCTGAACACTCTTTCCCAGTTAGACGACTTCAAGTTTGACGCTCCGCCACAATTTGACCGCATCAAAAAGCCTACACGGGTGGCTACCGTCACTCCGTTGAACCTAGGAAATTTAGGCCCCCTTCATACTCCTCCCCGAGGTTCTCCTCGTGTTTCACCTAACCGTGATACGCCTCCCATCAAACCACCCCCCGTGAGCATCGGCGCTCGTTCTCCCGGTACGTTTCTGGGCCTTTTTAGTCCCGCTCGCAAAATGTTTGCCCCGCGGTCTCGTCGAGGACTGGCTCTGTCGACGACCAGCAACCGCAGTGTGCGTAGTGGCAGTCTGTTGCGCCTGCTGAGCTCGCCCCAGAAACTGCCCACTAAACCTCCTGAAGTTCCCGCTAAGGATCCCGTGATCGAACACACCATCAGCCTGCTATCGCTGCCTCCTACAAAGCAACGGGGAGCGAAGCAGGTGACTGACCTTGCTCCACCGCCGGCATTTGCATTGGCAGCAGCATTAACCGGTGGCGGCTCTAGCGATAAGCGAGGGAGGAAACTGCTGCTTGATCTGGGACGGCTGCTGCGGCTGCTGCGACTGCTGAGGCTGCTGCGACCGCTGGCGGCCCTGTCGCCGGCAGCACTGCCGTTCGGAGGGCTGTTGGCCCGCATCACACTGCTGCTGCTGTCGCTCAACCTTAATGCCTATCTCACTGACGACAACAGCATCTTAGCGGGGCGCAAGTCCATCAACGAAAACGATAGCAGCGACTGGGAAGCGGAAGCGTTCACTGACGACGACGACTACGACGAGGGCGACCTGACGATGATCCTGGAAGCACCGCCAGTGCCTAAGCACACGGTGCTGATGGACGAGTACTTATCGCGGTTGCCCTAAACACAGCTGCCCTAAACACAGCTGCCCTAAACACGTAGACACGTAATTAGACATGGTTATTAATAGACATTCACTCAGATCAAACCTTCACAGAAAATACGAATAATAATCAACATTCACTTATGATTCGCAAGGGAAATGGCCTAGACGCTTTACGGTGTGAACTCAGCTTCGATTACTGCTCACTACTGATGGAAATGTGACACAAAGCACTGGCTATTCTTAGCATACGGATTCTCTGGTGGGATTGAGCCGTATACGTCCATGCCACGGAGAAACTCAAGAATATTACGAGAAAGGTGCGGCGAGAACGCTACGTATACTTTGTTGTCATGGGAAAAAGCTTAATCTGTGATCTGGTAAACCAGGAACTGACCTCGAGGGTCTCGGGATGAGCCGCAATGGGGGGGACTTCTTGATTGCTGCTTGGCGGCTACCTTGAATCCCGCCCTCCCCGCGACACGACTAGACACGATATTTTTCAGATCAATTAGACGGAGACAGACGAGGTTTACGGGTATGGAAATTGATAAGAGTATTTTGATTCGATCAAAGTGTTATCGTTACTAGCTAAGCCAATGGCTCGCTATTCAAAGGGTGGTGGTGGTAATTTCATTTCGCAATCGGTGCGGTAGTTTGTAACCGTAATGTTTTGTCATCAATGCCGCACAATGTATGCCGACTTCCTTCTCTATACCGGGATAGATCCCTGGAAAATCAAGGGGCAGCGAGGGGCTCCTAGGGAGCAACTGGCGACGTCCGATGACCCCGTTTGTATTTGCACCCAATTAGACTACTACCGTCCCCGCAAATAAGCCATCTTTGGCGTTAGCCCAAAACATCAATAACCCCTCGGTTGGAGGCATAAGTTTCGGTTTTGGTGGTTCGCAGGGATGATATGCTCCGCGGACGCCGCGATGGCTTTTTGCGATGTTTCACCTCTACTGTAGCGCACATATGTCGCCTGGTGACGGTGGGTGTAGCAGGTAAATTTACACGACAAACACCGAGACGGAAGACCCTCGTGGCTGGTAACGAGATGTCAACGATGCAACGGTAGCCGTAGGCATTGACGAAAGCGGGCCCCACTGACGGGGGAGAGGGTCCGATCGTCGTCTACAGAGGAAATGAGGCGACGGCGATGGCCATTGTCTGCCAGCGGGCACCAGCCTGACTTAGTCGTTACACAAGCGTGATATTCGGGGGGGCACTAACGTTAGGAATAGGCGGGTGATCGGTGCCGGTTGGCAGAGCCACTATTGCCCTAGCTTAAAACGGGCGGAAAAAATAAATTTACTGCATCGCCTGCCGGCACCCACCCTCGATCGGGTCAACAATTGTCAGTGGCAGGGTGTGTGCGGTGGCAGGGAAGGTTTTTTTTTTTTTTTTTTTTATTNGCGCAGGGCTCGCAACGGACAGACAAGCAAAAGATTTGCCTGTCAGTGAGGCCAAATCAGGGTTGAAATTTCCTACCGCTACCACCTAGTGGTAACTCTGCCGACTACATAAAACATCAACACGTCTTTACTGGCTACTACGCCTTCCCGAGAAATAAATAGAGGACAGCAACCAGCGAATAAGCTTTAGGGGAGGATCTCGTAGTTCTCCACGGGGAGCAATCCCCTGAGGGAGCGGTCAGTCACGCCATTCCGTTTGCTTCGGTCGAGTATTTACCCATTTCCCATTACGCCCCCCGGAAATATTTGGCACCTGCATCATTGAGTATTTTCTCACTTTCTCGAGCAGCGCGCCCGCAGCGGTGTGGATGCGCGCATGGGTAAGCACACCGGCGCGCAGCGTGGGCGCGCGAGCAGCGCCGTAGCGCCAATCGCCCGCGAAAATCTTAACGAGCAAATATAAGCTCGCGGTTCCCTCCACCCTCTGACCCTTCACCCGCCCCACCGCAACCCACCCACCTGAGAGGTATCCCACCCAATTGCATGACGACGATGGTGTTGGAATCGCCGTTGGCGTCGCGTACTCGCGACTTCATCCGGTTTGCCCCTGGCGACGACGGCAGCGACAGCGACGAGTCGCTCGTTGACGACCCCGAGCTCGACGACGACGACGACGTCCCCGCGCTCAAGCACCGCCGCCCGTCGGCGGCCACCGCCGTGGTCGCGGACACCCCCGCTCCCCCGTTGGCGCCGGCGCCGCGGGAGTCGCGGTTGCTCCTGCTGTCGATCTCGACCTTCGCCGTCGACAGCGACACCATCCCCCGCATCCTGCCCCTGTGTCTTGCGGCGCTTGTCGCCGGCGATCACCCGGGGTTCGACGCCGTCGAGATCATCGACTGCCGCTTTGACTACGAGTTCAGGGGCGGCCACATCGCCGGCGCCGTCAACGTGCTGACGATGGACGCGCTCGAGCGACGGTTTTTCACCACCGGCGCCACCGGTAAAAGCGGCGTCGTCCTCTACGTGTTCCACTGCGAATTCTCGGTGTACCGGGGCCCCAACATGGCGGGCAAGTTGCGCTCGCTCGACCGCGCCCACAACATCGCCCACTACCCGGCGCTCTCCTACCCCGACGTCGTGGTGTTGGACGGGGGCTACAAGGAGTTCCAGCGGCTTCACCCGGCGTGCTGCGGCGGCTACGTCGCCATGAACGACGACGCCCACGCCGAGACGTGCG